AGTTGATCATCGGGTTGTTAAAAGATGGGACTTGCAATGAAGGAGTCAGTGTGTTTTGTTTTACGCCACTTTTAGCAATACACCAGCTATATCATGGCGGGCCCCCAGAAATGAGGCAGTTGATCATCAGGCTAGCTATTCATAAGCCCATTCTTATCACATTGGCTATGATCAAAGATAAGAATTCTTAGGGCTACGAACATTTCGAGAATAAGGGCCCAGGTTGTTAAAAGCAAGACTTCTATTGAAGGAGTTAGCGTGTTGTGTTTTACACCACTTTTAGCAATACACCAGCTATATCATGGCGGGGCCACAAGAAATGGGCTTCAAAAACTGTACCAAATGTGGGGAATCAAGCAATTGGTTTAACCACTGGGCTACCACTGTGGTAGGACAGTCATCATGCCTATATGTTGATCATGCTATCAACCACTGCTTTGCTAGTCCCAATAAGATTACTTACAGAGCAGAATATTGACGCAACAAAGTGAAATGCAACTAACAAAATGATGACATTTTATTATATTTCTAGAATATACTAATGCATCAAACAGGACCTGATTAATAACATATATCATAGGAATATCTGTGAAAGTACGATTTTAGCCATATTGACATGAGTATAATTAGACAGCTATCCCAGAAGTACCATTACCATGAGTAAAATACATCCTCATTTGTAATGACTTAATACCACTATGATGTGTCAGTACATCAAGTAGACTAGTATTTAACAGGTTTGCTACATATGCACAGCTCATTTTACATTACAATTACCAAGAATACAACCCCAAGAGCTGTTTATGGACTTTATCTGTCAATTCCCTGAAAAGTTGATTTTGATGGAAAAAGGATGTTTATATGAAAGAAAAGTTTGACGACTCCTCCAAATCAATTCCCTCAAGTTTTGTCCTTTAGCCTCATTACATTAAATTATATTCTAAATTTGTTATCTTCTTGAATGTCTATATAACACTGTACTGCACACTAGTGGACCAGAACATCCTCTGTCAGTCACAAAATGTAGGTTTTCCATGCCAGTCTAGTCAGACATCACACATTTGTTAATTTTTCATAAACACAAGTGTAAGCAATAGAAACAATCTTCTTTGAAATATTTCAATAACCATACATTTTATAACTTCTTTTTATATCTTCCTACAGAGTAACAATATCAGACATTCTAAATGAAACAAACAGCTGAAACAGACATTCCATTATGTCAAGGATGCCCATCCTGGCTTAATATGACCCATCCTGGTCAACATATTCCATTACTCATGATTACGACGTTCTTCGTCTTGTGTTGCACTCAATGTGTAGCAAGCTCTCTCAATCATCCAGTCATCAACTGATCTAAACAGTCACCACTAGGATCTTCTTTCTACTCTTTGTCCACCTCACATATATTCAGGCAATCGTATGCACATCATCTAGTATGTCCGCATCATCACTGAGTACCTCGTAGCAGCATCTGTTGGAATCGGTTTGTAATTTGCAGTGACGTATCTATGAACCTTTCAACACAGTTCCTCATACAGGTCTCAGTCCGACTGTCCAGCTTGTCGCGGGGTTTGTCCATACATGTGTCCCAGCAGATGTCCGACAGCTTGTGGATCTGGGACTGCAGCTGGGCCTTCTGGGACTCCATCTGTATAAAGTTGGCTAGTTCCCGGGTCAGCTACCCCCTCAGCCGATGGCATCTTGCTGTCAAAGTTCATCCTCAGCTCCTTTGTGGAAGGACTCTTATGTTACCCTGAAACCATGCATGAATTGAGTGAATGATGTTCAACAATAGCAACTTCATTTGATCAGTCAGTAACATCCCACTCAGCAACATCCCTGATAGTAACAACAGGTCAAAGTCAATGAAATCCCTCACGGTTCGATACTAAGGCATGTCCTAACAACTGTCAACAACATCGTCTAGTAAATAGCTGGTCCGGTCCAGTCTAGGTAAAATAATGTCTGGCTAGTACGACTGGTCGTGTAGACATTTAATGAATGCCGTTTCAAATCACTGTATTTGTTTTGTTTTGTAATCTTGCAACAGTGTCATCTTTTATATGTATTATAAAGACCGTTATTAAGCTTATTTAAGTGTAAAATGGCTATAAAAGCTACTCTTCAATGATAACGTTCTTCAGAAAAATCAAAAGTAACGGTATACAGTTTTCATAATGGACAAAAGAAAACAACAATTATGACATAGTTTTGTGTTTACTATAGTTTGTTCTTCTAGTATGCACTATAAACCTGCTGATAACAAAAATGACCTTGTTCTGTCTTCCAACTGTATGGTCTAGTTGACAATTAGGTCAGTAAATTTTAAGACCCACTAGTCTAGTAGTAACAAATGTTAACGTCAAACCTTGTCCCTGCAATGATAAATACTTGTCGTGAACACATCAATAAGTTATATTGAGTGTATGTCACATTATTGTTTTCAAATATACTCAGGAAAGGAGCACTACAATCATTTTCTGCTTAAGTCAAAGTTGTTGCCATGGTGCCAAAGAAATTTAAAAAATATTTTGTTGAAAAATTATCTACGTATAAAAATTAACTATCATTAAAGGCTCTAGTTCACCACTTGACTTATCTGTTTGTCAAGTTTGGTGAAAAAATATTGTACAACTGCTCTGGAAACAACAATTTGCATGGACAGGTGCTTGGATGGAGTTTAGTACACCGAGCAAAATGCATTGAGAAGGAAAATGAATGAATACGTTATCAGTTTTTTACATGTAGCCGAGAACATTTGAAAACAGTAAAAACCTAAACGATGAATCCTTGCAACATCACATCAATTCCCCAGTTTGAAACACGATATTTAACAAAATGTACATATGGTCAAATGCTGACATTGTCTAGGCCTTTCTCATGTATCCAGTGCATCCAGTGCATCATTCATGTGGAAGAAGAAGGGCAAGAACTAGCCCAGAAACGTCGTGGTAAACAAATAAACAAGTTGCTATCCATAAGATTTTTATTGTATTACTCCACCAACTTCTAAATGCCTTTGAAGAATTTCATCACCAAAACATATATTAATTTTCAGTCTCATATAATAAAATAAGAAAGATGGCAACAGCCGAAAACACTTGTGAGTGTCCGACTAAAGCTTACATTATCTGTTCCTATACACCTTCTCTGGTGTACCCTAATATTACCCTTCATTACATTAAAATCATTAAACATTTTGTATAGTGAGTGAATATGGATAAATGCCACTTTTAGCAATATTCAAGCAATATCATGGTGGAGGACACCAGGAATGGCCTTCATGCATTATACCCATGTTGGGAATCGAACCCAGGCCTTTGGCGTGACAAGCCAACACTTTAACCACTAGGCTACCCCACAGCCCCAACCATATTGTATAACTTGTACAATACTCAAAATAGTAATTTCTTCAGTATCAAATATTAATATTGATATCATTAATAAGTGATACAGATAGTTTCCTGTAAATCTGCATTAGAGAGAGCTGAAATTATCTTGCTTAATCATATACTAATTAATATCCACCACTGTTAGTTTCAGCTTATGATGTTTATGTTGTGCATTATACAAGATATAAGACGACAGCCAGTAAATGCCGAAGTCAGGGCAAAATGACCGAGAAATTGAGGAACAGTTCATAGAAACATGACTATCAAATCCATCATGTCACCTACATAAGTGAGAGCAGACTGACTTTATAACTGTTACTCTTAGAAAACAGCAACAATGAGAACACTCGGCCCCTTCATGTTTAACCCTGCAATTTAAGCCTCTGGTATGAAAACAATGTGAAAAGCACAATAAAGAGGTTGCTTTAGGCCCAACTGTTTTCATTTCAGAAAAAGTTCATTTGTATACTAAAAAGAGACAAAAAGTCCAATTACATGATATGACTACACCAGGTATGTGCATGGTCATCAGAGCAGATACTTCCCTCTCAGGTTTGCACAATGACCAAGCTTGAGGATGATAGGTAGTGAAAATTGGTATCAGACTCCTTATTATTAACGTTAATTGAAAATATAATGTTCACATGCTTATATACAGGTGTTAGCGAGTCAAAGCTATTTGTTACCATGCTGTGGTTTTCAGATGGCAGCAGTATAGATTCAATGTTGCAGCAATACGTACATGTTTAAGTATCAGTGCAGTTGACTTTTTGGAGAGTTCAAAGCAGCTTAAACATGGCAAGGTGAGATCGATCACGCTTTGATGAAATAAAAAAACGTGCACTATTCCCTTTGTTGCACAGCTCAGATTATTGTCCACGTGAAACAATTTCGTCATGTATGATCATGTAGGAAAGCTAGTTTGTGAATGTCACCTTCACGGTACACAGCACTACTCTGTAAATAGTTTTTGTCTGAAAACGATTTAGTGGCATGCTATTGTGAAATCAATGCAAGTGGATAATAATTTAGGCATGTCATGTCTATGTAACTCAACAGAAGACACAAGCTCCTAGTCTACTGTTTACTCTTTCGTCAATGTTAGCCGAACTGCTGTGGAAATTATCCGATTATTCAACCTCACGGAGATCGATGGTGTTTCTGTCGTCAGCTGGTGATCAGATATTCAGATCACACGCTCGAAACACTATATCGTAATGAGACATACCTACTAGATACAGCAAAATTAAACGACCTTCTTCTCTGAATACCTAATCCGAGCACATGCCTTGATGAAAATAGGAAGCGGAAGTAGAGCCATGACATGCGCGCATAACGACGACCTCTGACCTCACAGACGTAAACAATAGCACGTGTCTGTAAGGCGTGATGTCGTTCGGCAGAGAAGGGTATGATAAAGCGAAGGAAAGAGCATCGAAACGTTTGGGGAAATGGGCAGACGATACTAGAAATGAAAAGGGAAGTGGAATTGAACGTTTATTGGCAGGATATCCAAACATTTTGCGTAGAATACAATTTGACAAATACCCAAATGTGAGTAACATTTACAACAGACCCATGCCCATCGTTCAAAAACGTCAAGACATGGCACGGACTGATGTCGCACCCAAAGAAAAGAAGATTGTCAGCGCCTCAGCTGAAACTGTATCTCATCAACCAGCCACGGGGCAGAAGAAAGCCATCTCAGAGAGCAGTCTTTGTGAGAGTCGCGTTGACAGTAGAAAAAGTCGAAATAGTCGCGCGTCTCGTGTTTCAGTTGAAAGTCCGTACAGGTTGTGTGTTCTCAGCTCAAGGGACCGAAATACCGAATCAAGACTGCGCGCATCTGAACTCTCCAACTATGCCCAACCAACAGACAACGATCATGATGCGTTGAAAAACATTGATGAAGTAGAAACTTGTCAGATTGTTGGCAGCAAACAAACTGTGTCCTTTGAAAGCCCAACGTGCTTAGAAAGAAATGACTCTCTCAAGACACCAACGGTAAACAGATAGTTTGTCCGTTTGTTGTTTAACGCCGCACTCAGCAATCCTTTAGACATCGTTTGTAAATAATCGAGACTGGATGACACAATCCAGTGATTGACATTATGAACATCTATCTTATCTAGGCAATTGGGCTACTACGACATGCACCAACGAAGTCTGACCACCTGATCCCGTTAGTCACCTCTTACGACAAGCATAGGTTCATAAAGGCCAATTTCCTTACCCGGTCTTCTCGGGTCGTAAATAGACAATGAAAAAAGCCTGTTCTTTATTATAAAGAATGTTTATTGAAGTACAGGCGCTTTTAAAGCTGACATCTAATTTTGTTTGTGAATGCTACGTTCAGCATGTAAGTTTAAATGTAAACTGTGGCTCGGGTGGTCAGGGGCGCTGATTTGGTTGACACATGTCGTCGTATTCAAATTGCGTAGATCGATGCTCATGGTGTTGATCACTGGATTGTCTGGTCCAGAATCGATTATTTATAGACCGCCACCATATAGCTGGAATATTGCTGAGTGCGGCGTAAAACTAAACTCACTCACACACTCACTCTGAATATCGTTCACTGCATGGATCGATTACTGACAGTCTGCCGTCATGTAGCCGGACTAGTGCAGAGTTAAACAAACAAACAAACTAACTAACAAACAAGATTGATAACGACTTGCTGGTATTAAGAAATTATTCTGTATTACTTACTCTCTGACGGTATGTACACCAGAAGTAATTCATAAATTTTCAAAATTCTACTGAATGATCAGGGTGATTCTTGACCACTTTGTCTCAACGATATATGTTCCCAGAATCGTCGGCGAAGTACGCTGTCTCAAGCCTTGTCCAAGACTATAACAATACCAGCTCCGCCGCCCTGTGTCTCCGTCACATCAATTCCCGCTGATCCCGTCGTCCAACCCCAGGAGACGGTGAAGTCCTCTGGTGACAAGCCTAGACTGGTGCAGCTCTTCAAGAAGATTTACAACATCGTCCTGCTGTTTCGTGGCACGAGTCGCCAGTTGGCAGGGCAGGTTCAGAAGGACGACCAAGTGTTCCGGGTGATTGGGCGGGACGGCAGAGCCATTAGCTTTGACTTCCGCGAGTTCTGCACCAGCTCTAAGAACTATGGGGGATTGACGAAGAGAGCTAGAGAGGCCCTCGCACGCAGATCAGGCCAGAGAGGTCAAGGGGATATCAAATGTTTGTTGGTGAGTGCAGGGACTGATGCCATATGACTTGTCTTTATGTCATTTGCATGTGCCCTACATCAGTGTGCTCAGTATCCTCTTAAATATCTGGCCTTCAGTGCAGGTTACCATAGAGAAGGTCATTGTAGCATCCTTAACTCAACTGAATCTCGTATTACTCGAGGTATCGTTTAAGACGATGTGGCACAGAAGTTTAAGACGATGTTGCACAGAAGGGGATTTGGTAGAAAGATTTGAAGAAATAAGAATAAAAATACTTTTGCACTGGGGTTGACTTAAACCACATACATGCTTTACTCTTTGACTTCTTTCTACCCTTGTATTCTTGACCCCCGGCCGCGACCTTATGCACAAAATCATCTTATAAAATTGTATTGCATCATTATGTTAATTGCTCAAGGAACTGCGATTCTGGTTACCGATTCTGATGACGATTCGCGAATTACCGTTAGGACAACCCAAATGTATATGAAAACCGATCTCCCCATCCCTCCCATATTAATTATCCTCGCCCTGTTGGCATACCGAAAATTCAAGTCCAGGTATCCTGCTTGTCTCGATCTTAAGAACTTTCAGCATATTTTAATAGCCTCGATACTAAAAACTATACAAAATCGTATTCGTGTGCATGTGGTGTGTTCCACTCGCTTAAAACCGCGTGGTCATTTGTGACGATGTAACATGATCTTTCTTACCCAAATATCTATGGTCACCAAACTACGAAACATATATCCCTTTCCACATGGCTTTCAACCCATAAGGTTGCACTAAAGATTATCTCATTACCACTTTTTGTAATTACCAGAGGATGGCAGGTAAGCCCCCTGACATTTTCTTATCATTTGCTCTGCTACCCAGGAGGTGATTAATCGACTCCCTGTGTTCGCCAAGTACTCGACGGATGTGAAGGAAGCCCTGGCTGACCGTCTCCACTACGAGCAGGTCGGGGCCGGGAGGGTGGTTATAAAGCAGGGTCATGACGGGACCAATGTCTACTTCGTCGTGTCCGGGTCGCTGGGGTGTAGATTGTCGGAGAAAGACCCACGAACAGGTATTTAAGGGGTTTACTTGCTATATACCTACTGAAAGAGTGTCCCTTGTTACTCATTTGCTGATGGTCAAAGGAATAATTGTTGACGATAGTTATCATGAAATAGTAATAATAATACACGGAAAGGGAGAGTTTTTGCAAATTGAATCAATGTGGATCATAAGGTATTCACCCTTTTCCGTCTATACCCTCCACTGGATATCTGCGGGCATCGTGATGTGTGGTCGACGGCCAAGAAAGAAGTAAGTAGTTGCGAATGGTCGACAGTGTCGGGCATCCTTGCTTTGGACGATCCATCGGAAGTCAAGCGCAACATTCACTCACTCACATAGTTGCTGTAGATGTGGTTGCTTTTCAGACTCAGCTGAACTATTGCTGTTCTTGAACTCAACAAATTCTTTCCTTGCATAGGTGGCGAGTTGGTGACCTATCTCCCCGACATTAAGGCAGGCGCTACCTTCGGTGAGCTGGCCTTTGTCAGAAAAGTCAAAAGAAGCGCCACAGTTATCTGTCACAGTATGTTCCTTGTTCCATTCCTACACACACACTCACACTGGAGAGATACTTTTTATGTAGAGCATGTCCAGGTATACAAGTAAAACATAAAGCTCGACGTGAAGACCCAAAAATATAAACAGTATCTATAAGCGCCGAATAATTCTGATCAGTGGACATTTCAAGAAGCTGGATAATATTAAAGGGGTCTGGGTGGTTATAATCCGTGCCCTTGTGTCCAGACAGCTTGGATAGTTGTTTCAGTCTTTGACTTATCTGATATCGGCTCGATTACTTAACGATAACCGTGCAAAACCTGCAAGTGTAGAACAAAACACGATGTCAGCATATAGAATCTTTTCTTTTAGTATCGTTACACTGTTCTCTTGTGCCTCGTAGATCCTGAGGGTTCTTGTGTTTGGGTCCTGGGTCGCGGTCCACAAAGCGTTCGTAACGTTACGACCTGTCGTAACTCTAGTTTATCATTGGCTTACGAATGTCGTAGCGCTACGAACGCTTTGTGGATCATGGCCCTGGTAGCCTACATGTTCCGAAATCCTTTGCCCATTGATTCTTCGATGAAAAAGGTTGGCGAACATATTCATTAACTGGTCCCCAAACACCATGACTCATTCACTACCCCCTCAAACTCATCTCCACAGCTGACTGCGAGCTTCTGATGTTGAGTAAGTCAGACTTCAACGATGTTGTGAGGGAGGCGTGGGAACAACAGCGGCGGGAGAGGCTCGACTTCCTGCATGGATCTAAGTACTTCCAGTCCTGGACGGAAGCTGAGCTGGGAGCCGTGGCAGACGTGTCCAGTATCATGGACTATAAGGATAATGATGTGAGATTTCAAAATGCCTGAGATAGTTGATGATTTCTGGAGTTTGTCGATACTAGCTCAATTCATTCTTGGTCAAATAAGAACAAAGAGAAAAGGTCTTGTTTTCGTTTACCTTGAGCTCATTGACAGTGTGTTATTTGACAATTGTGTTCTCTACCCTGTTCCAATGTAAGTTGGGTCTCTCTTCCAACTGCCTCTTCTTAAGCATTCACTTGCCAATCTCAACTACATCACAGTAACTCAATAACTGTCTCAGTGTGCTTTAATGTACAATAATATGACGACGGCAGGAACCAGAAAATTGGCTTGAGATTACTCTCATTTCTTGACATTTATTGTATTCAAACCCAAAGTATGGCTTTAATTAGTGTAAAACAATGTCAGAATGTTCTTTCGATGACATAAATATATTTTGTTGGTTGGTTTGCAATTCACGGCCTTTGTGTTCCACGGTTTCAGATCATTCTTGGCAACGTCAAAGGCGTATCACCCAAAATCTATTTCCTCATGTCTGGCAAGTGCCGCGTCATCAAGCAAGTCCCTCTTGTGCGTCTCAAATCCCCTCACAAACCATCGACTCTGGTGTTGCCGAACAAGACGTCACAGAAGGAGTTCTTGAACAAAAACTACGGCCGAGCTTACAGGGTCCATTCACTGCACCCTCGCAACCTCACCATCACGAGGCTGTACGAGGGGGACTACATGGGAGCTGGTGAGCAAGTGAATGTTGATTATGAGTGTAGTCACACCAGGTATTGAGTTATTATAGTTATATAGTACACTGAGGCATGACAGCTCAATACTGTTAAAAACAATGTCAGAGAAAATTTGCCATCCTTGTGATTCATAACGGGTATCATACTGACGTATCAAGGATCACGTCCCACCAATATGCTATTCAAATCAATTGCCAACGGATCGTGGCCCAACTAAAGGGCGTAACTCTGAGACACTGCACCACCAAGTCATATAGTGTGTATATCGAAGATATTGAAATTTAGTTCATGACATTTCTCTCTAGGAATGTGCCTAGTTGTTTTCACTTTCCTATTGACTTTGTTTCCTCTAATTTGTTTCCAGGAGAAGATCTGGAAAATGTATACATGATAGCCGATGGCAAGGCTAAGTGTATATGTATGAACATAGTCCAGTTTGAGATATTTGCCAAGAAGCAGCAACTTCGAGCCATGGCCCAGAAACGGCAGTCCCTCATTCCTGACAACCAGTCCCTGCATCAGCGGCTGATGCTGAACAGGTTGTGGAACAGGTACAAGGAGCAGGTGGTGCTGGAGGTGGTGGGCAAGAAGAAGATCCATGGCAGGGCTACAATGTCCGACGTTCCATGGTCCATCAGGATGGAACCCAGAGCATGGTGAAGCTCAGTGATGTGTCACAATGGTGCAATCTAAGACTGGTGATGTATATTGCGATGATACATCATGAGCATTCTGGGTTGTGCTACTGTACTGGTTTGACAGCATCATGGTCTATGTTGCAATAGTGTTTGGGGACCTTGCTGGCTTGTGTTTTCATGATGTTGAGCACTGCGCATTCTTTCTATATAAGCATAGAAATGACCCAAATATCAGGAAATGTTTTTGAAACGTTCAAGGCCGTGTCCCCTGGAATCAGATAGTTAAAACCAGGAATGATCTGTTCTGAAACTATGGTTTTTCTGTTTTCTTCAAGAAAGAAAGAACGGACAAGACTCAGGAAAATTAGAGCTGATTAATATACTCTGTTATAATCTTTTTTCGTGTCACTCTGAGGACTAAGCGTTTTCACCTTATACAATTTGATACTTTTCAATGAAAGGTATACCTACATGAGTAGGAAGCTACATCTGTGACTTCTGCATATTTGACCGTTTAATTCAAAATGTTTGTTTTTTTGTACCTGTTTTTGAGTTCGTATGTGTATAGATTTGGGCATGCGTGTGTATGGACCTGCAATGCACTGGTGAGAATCCTTGGGGGAATGTAAATGCACTTAGTGTTATTAATTGGAGTTGATAAAAAGGAATCAAAAATATATTTCCTTATGTTTCATACAATCAGGGCATGCTGGTAATATTAGAATGTTTTTGTTTTTTATCTGCACGGAAATTATATAATGCAAATCATTTTTAAATAGGAATGTCTCAAAGCACTCATCAAGTACCTGTTAAAGATTTAGGAGCATGGAGTGCCTTACCTGATTGTATAGTTAGACATTTGGCTGCCCGACATCCCTGGCAAACACAACTCTTTATTCGCTGTCCTTACCTCTAATATCCTATCAGTGGATACTGCCGAGTGGAGCAAACTGTCCTCCAGGTGCATTTATCAGGCCAGGGATGGTCTTTCATTGGACAAGACTCTCCTCAATGCCCGTAATCTCATTATAAGATGCCCTGGAAGCAGGTTCTATGCATCTTTTTCAAGTTTCCATTCCATTTAATTCACCAGTTTATTCTGTTCATTTCAGTTCGTTATTTTTTAACCTTCTGCATAGCAGTCATGTTATTAATATACCGCACTTATTTAAATCATATTTGTTGCATCTGTCAACTATCTGTGGTTTAGTCAACTTCTTGATTGAGCATGTATCTGTTCAACTTAGAACATGATTCTTTAACTTTAATTTCAGTGCAGAGCAATGACAATTCTTAAAGAAAGATCATTACGTAATGCAATTAATGAGCAATTAATGCTGACTCAAGCAGATACATTATATTGTTTATTCTCTTCAGATATTATATTATTTGCCTATTTCATTGTCATGTTACCTTTATTGAGGTTATTGGAGTCTTCTATCAGTGCTTCCTCCATAATCTGTTTGACTCCTGGACAAAAGCCAAGGATGTCACTGTACAAGACTTCAGTAAATATTGGAGACTAAATGTTTGTCTACGTTGTGGACAACACTGGTTCCTGGGGAGCTGGTGCTCAATAGGTTGTGCTGATATTTGTAATATCAGTAGTAATTGTGTTACCTCTTGTTCACAATGGAGTTTTTCATTTCTAAATATTTTGTATACAATTGTATCGATTTGTATCAGGTTTTCATGACTGTGATGTTTTGTTATCCTGTTCTGTGCAATAATTGTACTAACTCGTTTTTATACACCTGTTTCCTGTGAAATATTTCCATGCTAACTGTTCAGAGCAAATGATATCCAAAGCAAGACTTTTGACCTGAATAAATTCCTTGCAAGGGACAAGAGGTTTTGTACTTGAATAACTCAGTGGGTTATACCCATGGTGTCATCTTATAGCTACCGCCAGTTAGTCACACTTCAGCATAGGCGGATCCTCTTTTGTGAAATTAAATGACCATTGAAACTTGGGTGACACACACACACACCCCTTTCTAAAAAAGCTGTATCCGCCCCTGTACTGCAGCAGGCACAAAAAAGGACACAAGACAAGGATGAGTGATCACTAATTATCATATACAGTGGAATCTGTCTATTACGGACTCATTTGTCCGGATTGTAAAGTGGACCGGATTAGACAACTTTTGTCCATTACTGTAGACACTGCCACGATGAGTTACCGTATTTTACCGTAGATAAGACGAATTTTGAGGACCCACCCATCCAAAAAAACAAAACAGTCTGTAGAAGGCGGTCGGCTTATCTATGGGTTACACTATCATAAAACTTTATTTAGGGGGTAAGAAAACCACATCATATCGCTTCATGTGAACAAACAACAGAAAACGACTTACTCAGTAAAGACGTCAAATTTGCAATCAAACATCACTAGACAAGATTATTTACCTTTTCAGTTCTAATTTGTTTTTGCTAGGCATTGTCTTATATACAAGGATTAAGATTACTTTATAAATATTGTAATTTGTGGTGGCAATTCTTCCTTATTGTTGAACACTTTCCAGCTGCTTCACTGCCCACCTCTTGACCATGTCCAAGGAAGGAGCATCACCCCCTTTATATGACACCATGCCCATTAGGGATGCCATGATACATAAGATGGCAGCTGAAGATAAACAAAGACAGCAAGTTATGACCATTTTCGTCATCAGAAAATCATTTTGTGCCTCCTGAAATGCATGTGAGGTCCTGTATTTGCAGGCTCTGATCACTGAAAGGTTTGAACATACAGTGCAAACTGTTATGAATACAGCCACCCAATGTAACTGCCAAATTAATTACACCTAATAACCTTAAAGATGACCTTGACCTGTGACTGACACTGCACTGACATGTCACCAGGAGTTTCCTGCCTCTAACAGTAACAACAGAAACATCCGGAAAGCTTACTTATACTTTCATCATATTTTGACCAAATCCACTTCAGGGTAAGGCTCCATCCCAGACAAGGGACATACAAGACTGAATGACATGGCAACCATCCTCAAACATTTAACATGTTTAAGTGAATGCTTCCTCTCTGTCAACCTCTTCCTTTGACACTTAGCTTGTGCCAAAGAATTCCTCTTGGACATTTGGAATGAAGTCCAAGGAAGAATAATCTCTGATCTGAGAAAACTAACAGTAGCAGGATTTATCTAGACCTGTTTTATCTAGAACTGGCATCAGTAAGTTTTCAATTCATTTTACCACATGTTTGGCAGGATACAGCTGCTGCTGAATTACTATTGGCAATTTTCTCCAGTCAGTAGAACCCAAATTACAACTCCTTAACATGAAAACCAAGATATTTACAGTTTATTCTTCTGTACAAACATTCTCTCACACACACTACTAACTTAGCAACTTGAATATATTATTGTCTACAACTGAGAAGCAGACCCTTGATGCGACACTAGTTTACCACATGATGTAACCCAGATGTTGGTGTGCACTTCTTCGACCTATTTTCCTCAATCTTCATCCTAGTTCCAGGAACAGCTGCCTAGATCAGAGGTGGAAATAACCCATTGCCCGACGCCCCAGTCCAGTGTTTTTTTCTGTTGGGCTAGCAAATTTGTATATCACACTGTACCGGTGTCCAGTTGACTTTCCCATGTTTATTATGTTGTCACGACAAGAAAATAGGCCGGTATAGTGGAAGAATTATCAGGGCAAGTGATTTTACATGTGCCACTGTACCGGAGTACACTAGCAATTTTAAAGTTATTTCCACCCCTGCTAGATAAAAAACATCACATGGAGAGGGAGTTGGTGGACCATCCTTTCTACAGCCCTGCAGGTAACCCACACCAGTTGACTTCCTGTGTGTGCTACTCGACTTACAACTGCTTGAAACATGTCAGCTTTATGATGTATGATGCTGGAAGAGGCCTGTGCTGCACATTGAAGGCATTTACCAGCTGTTTAACACGTCCATAAACCTCAAGGAGGACAGTGATGATTAACCAAATGTCAGTCTGGTGAATCTGAGATTTGAACCAATGACTAGGTGATGCAAGCTGACAACTTAGTCCTCTGGGCCACCCATGCTCCAATTTCATGTGGGAAATTTCAAAATAACATTGGTCACAGATATGAATCACACTGATGAAACTCACCAGCAAGGACCAAACAAAATTCGACCAATAAAGCAAATTGCAAATATCCGAGAACCACTCTGCAAAGACTTGTTATGCAGGTCTAGCTGTGGCAAGTCCTTGTCCCAGGAGTAAAATAAAATAAATGATTTGAAAGGGATAGTCTCATAAAGAGTGAATAATCCTTCTGGATCTCTGGTTCTTGATAAACTCCTCCATCTTTTCGTGTCCTGTGGCAGGAGGGGGGTAGTAGTGTTTGGGAGGGGGTCCCTCCTGTAGTCTGATGAAGATGTTGCAGTAGCGGTAGTGGATAATCCCGTACCTGGGGCCGCGGTGTTTCCGAAGACCCTTCACAGTCTTACCTTTACCAACAAACGACGAGGCTGGAAACATAAACAACCTTTTAGTGAGGGAATGAGTTACGTTTTACGCCGCTTTTAGTAATATTCTAGCAATATCACTGCGGGGGACACCAGAAATGGGTTTCACACATTGTTCCCATGTGGGGAATCGAACCCGGGTCTTCGGCGTGATAAGCGAACACTCTAACCACTAGGCTACCCCACTGCTCCTAAACAACCTTTTAACAAAGCAATGACCAAAACATAAATGCAAATGCTGTTTCTTGCTGCAGTCTGCAATATTCTAGCAACATCACATGGGTCCTGTCAGTATTTTAGTTAAAATCCATGAGCACAGGTATGGTTTTGATAAGCCAAGGATCACTACCTGAAAATAAAAACCACTTAATCACATAAATGAAAACATGCAAACTGACTATAAGCTTCTTACCAATCCACAAATTGGACTTGTATTCTACATTGTGGTCTCGGACTGCCATCTCCTGGGCCTCCTCCAACACCTGTCAACAGTGTACAGATACTAATGTCCAGGGGCACCATGAAATAAAGGAATTTATCAAGCACAGTGTTGTGATTTTAATCTTGTACAAGTCACAGAATGCTTGCCTTAAAAGTAACTAATTATTGCCTGATGAAATAAACTTTTCTCAGATCTTCATGCTCATAGTATGACTGAAACTGACCAGTTCTTTCCATCATGAGATGACGTATGGATAACTGTTTCATGCATTCTTATTTTGTTGTGATACAATGTGAATCAGTCTCACTATTAGTGTATCAAGATATGCATTACATGACAACAAAGTGTGTTGTGAAAGAACAAACCATAACCATTTTTACACTGTTAAGATTAAACAACAAACCTCCTTCATGACAGCAGACCCTTTCCTCTTGTAAAATGACAGCTGTTTCAATGCTTCATCTATTGACATCCCTCGTATCTGCAACATGCAACACACAAATAACTGAAACAGTGAGTGAGTATGGTTTTACGCCGCTTTTAGCAATATTCCAGCAATAACACGGCGGGGGACACCAGAAATGGGCTTCACACATTGTACCCATGTGGGGAATCAAACCCAGGTCTTCGGCGTGACGAGCAAACGCTTTAATCACTAGGCTACCCCAACGCCCATAACTGAAACAGAGTTTCACAAAACGGGTAAAAATACTACATATTCACATTTCCCAACCACACCTCTGTACAAATCTATGAATTCAGATATTTGTACAACATGTGATTCACTCTCACTGTGTTTACAATGTTACATGAAAAGCTTTGTTGTTTCCAAAATAACTGATGAAGTTGTACTAAAGTACAGTGAATTTAACTAGTTCTGTTTTGAATTCATGCACATCCTCTCATGTGAAAAACTCTTACCATTACGCAATGTACCACATCTTCAGGGGACTGTACTTGATTTGAAATCTAGCATGGCAGATTTCCTGAAAACGTTTAAATAGACAGGTCATTTCATCATGTTTGGCAATCAGACATTCAAACATTTGACACTGATACATCCTCGATAATCTCCAGGGTATACATCTCCACTAGTACTCTGGATGCATCTATGGCTTGGCCCGATAATTGTATTACCTCCCTTTGCTGGCCTATTATCAAATCAAGTGTCTACGCTGGGAAGTTGAGCGTACCAATCACAAGGCTTCTATCTTAACTCACTTCCGCTTCTTTTATCTAACCAATTAAACTTAGCAAACACAGTTGTTGCAGAGGTACCCTGAAAGGGGTAGAAGGAGTTCTTGCATATATTTTTTAAAGGTTTCAGACTTGACAACTTGTCTGCATGATTTTCCCCTAAATCTGAGTCGCACAGCCAGCAAACCTTTGCGGCTGTGGCCGCCATCTTTGTTGACACTGGCAAGCTCGGCTGCAACGGCTTATCTGATTGGCTACTGTGAGAAGGTGGAGCCAGCAAAGGGAGGTAATACAATTATCGGGCTGAGCTGTAGATGCATCCAATAGTCAGCAATGAGAGTTGACTAGTGGACGACAAATGTGCAATACCACTTTTCTGTTGGTCTTCAATGTAAACATTTGTTGGATACACATGGTATTCTAACAAGATGCAGCACACCTTATTAAATATATATATTGTCAGAACAAATAGCTACTCACTGCTGGCCTGATATTTTCGCCTTCCTTCTGTGGGGGATACACAATATGGTTATACTTCTCCCACTTCCAAGACTTCATCTTAAAGCCCAAGCTCTTATCAAAGTCTGTGTTTCTGTAAGCTGTGTTGAGGGTATTGCAGGTGTGTATGCAAGAAGCATGGTTAAGTGTGGGGATAAATTGCCTGAAATTATCACAAAGAAATTACATGACAAAGACAGTCACAGCATGTTTACAATCATGCAAACCAATTATCACCTGCAAACACTTTACTCATCTCACAACAAACCTCTGCGGCTGAGTGAGTGAGTGAGTTTAGTTTTACGCTGCACTCAGCATTCTTCCAGCTATATGGCAGTGGTCTGTAAATAATCGAGTCTGGACCAGACAATCCAGTGATCAACAGCATGAGCATCGATCTGTGCAATTAGGGACCGATGACATGTGTCAACCAAGCCAGCGAGCCTGACCACCCCACCCTGTTAGTCGCCTCTTACGACAAGCATGGGTTTCTGAATGTTCATTCTAAACACAGGTACCTCTGCGGTTGAACTTGAGTGTATAGAAAAAACAATCTACCAGAGATAAGTAAGACATCATAATTCAGTGAGAGTGGAAGCAGCTGTTGACTGAAATATGATAAAGAGGAGAACTCAAAGCAGTAAATTTGATGCTCACCGAAACACTGTTTGGTTGCTGGCTCTTAAAAGTCTCAAGCCTACAAAATGAAAAAAAGAAAAATTATCATCACTTCAAGTATTATCATTTGTTTAACTTGATCAAAGTGAGTGTTCATGTTGTATTTGTCATCATTCACTTGATAATCATTTACCCCTGCCTCTGAGGGTGTTTACATAAATTGGTGGTGCATGTCTGGTGGTAATTATTCAATCAAAGACTGCATTATAAATCCAGATCCAATACGAATGAATTACGCATTATGTAATATTAATGCTGCAGTGCAGGAATGGTCAGATGAGTAAATAATTCATATTGATCAAAGGATTAACAAACATAGTTGCCATATGCGCTATTTTAGTTGACCAATGACAGTTAAACGTTAATGTATATTTTAAAATATCAGAAATTACAAAAATGTGCTACATCGAACAGGTTTCTCTGTACAAGCTACAGATTTCAGGATAAGCCAGTTGATACCTGAAATACATAGAAATATCAGCAACACGAAATTTACAATGACAACAGCGGTCAAATGCATTGAATTCGCTTGACCAACGAGTTTATATTGTGTGTGCAACATCTCACCGATGGAATGATCATAACGTATTTTAATCAAGAAAAACTGATGAGATATTTGCAATAAAATGTGGCATCTAAATATGAAAGTGCACTCACATGGCATGCTTATGGACGCCATTTTGATGGTTGCCCTTGATTTACGTACTGTCGTAACAAAAATATGCCGATATATAACAGATTTATGGATGTTATTTGTGGTGTTCACAATACTATAAATATCTAATCCACGGTAATGACATTCACATAGAAAGGCAACGTGAGCAATAGATAAATACGTTGTTTTTCGTTATTACAACGACTTGACATAAATGAGATTAATTAAAACACAAAAACAACTAACACATTTAAAACGAAATAATAGACTATTATTTAGACAAAATTAAGATGTGTCGCATAATAGTGGGTAAACATAAGAATTCGAAATGAATAAAACATATACAAAATCTAAAATGTTTGAGAGGTTAGATATTCTAAAGGTTGGATGCTTTTGATAACATTTATAGTAATCCGTTTTCCAATAACCACTTTTGATAATATCGCGTACTCCTCACGTTGTACCGGGATATTTGCTTCGATTCAAACATTTAGAAGGCTGTTTACTTTTTCATGGAAGCATAACACGTATCATTCACAAAACAGAATGGCCAGCTTGGTTCTTCCAGCTTCACCAAACTGGTATTTGAGTCAAATTAGTGATTCAAATCGCGGTGGGTTCTACGTTTTCGGCGCAAGACACGATGTTGCCATTTTTGACATATCCACTGTACCCCGAACTCCACCTCGGTATGTCAGCGCATTTTCTGGACATAAAGATCGGGTGTCATGTGCTAAGCTTGGGCAGACACAGAGCCAACTGAATATTTGTTGCAGCTCAGCAGATGATTTGAAAGTGAAACTGTGGGATGTCAATACTCAGGTTGAAATCCAGAGTCACTCCGAACACAAAGTAAGAATTAACATAACTATTAATGCCTCTCGTTTTTGCCGTGAGTCTCACCTTGTAAATTAAATCTCACATTTTGTCGTAAAAGTGCTTTCTAAATATCACCATATGTTTTCACCTGAATAACGACTGTGTCCAAATGCATGTGTCTAAAACCTTCCAATAGACAGTGAAAAATACCCCCTATCCCACCATGTTCATGTGTTTATGTACTACAGTTCTGAATGTCCAAGACTGACAGATATCCCATATCCAATATAAACATGATAAAACTGTTATAACTGAAATATGGTTAAAAAAGCCTTACCTCTCTCACACAGCTGTTTGCTTGAACTAACAATAAAACAGCATGTTTAGTATAATGTTTTGCTGTTGGCTTGATGGTCTTGTAACGGGGGATAAGTATAATAGGTGCTATAGATATTAGGAAGGAGTGGGTTGGCGTTAGTAACTTAGCTGGGGGTATAAATCATACATTTTGGGTATATTAAATGGATTTTTCTTACCGGTGTTTGCGGGGACATGCGGGTTACGGCTGTCGCAGGTTTGTTTGGTTTCGCTTGCCGTTTCGGCACAGCGATTGGCTGCACGCACTGGAAGGTTCCATTCCAAGGGTAGGGGTGTGCTCCTCGCTTAGTGGGACAGGTCCGCTATTGCGTATATAAGGAGCGCACCACAGGTGTTTTATTGTCTGAGTTGGAGACACCCGAGGATAGGTGAGCCCTTGTTTTGAGACGAAACAGCTTCCCAGTTGCTTTGCGAAAAAGTAGAATTTGCTCCGTGACGGACCAGTCCTTGCTTCGAGACGAAACAGTTGACCCCCCTCTCACGGCGAAGCACTTAGGAAATAGGAGGGTAGGCATAGGTATAGGTGGTGGAGGGGAATAAAGGTATGTAGTTTTAGGTATATATTTATTTAGATATACAGGGTAATTGTTAGAAAGTGGGAAGGATGGGTGGTTTTATAAACTAACTACCGCTGTTAAAGACAGCTGTAGTATGCTAGATTTATCTTAGGTCGGGATTAGGTGGGAATCATGTTTGTTAATTTAATTTAGATTTTGGTTAAAACTTCCCAGAAATATATTTTGTTACATTTGGAGTTTGTGTAAATAAAATGGTGATATACATTTTGTCTTATGTCCTGAATCGCAAGGCTGCATCTCGTAATCGGGAAACAGCGTAGAGGAGAATTCTGCTCACGGATTTACGGGTTTATACCTGGAGTATACTCTCTTGTGGTAAACATGCCAGTTGAAAGGGAAAAACACAACGCAAAGTAGAACCACACATTGAACACGTAGTTTCCACAAGACAGAGCAAACCACGCCTGTTACAGTCTCCAGCCTTTGAGTGTCACTTCACCAGATTGGTGTGATTTTGGTGAAAATTCTTTTAGTGTCACAGATACCATATGCTGTTGACTGGACATTGCAACTTTGATCATTACTTTATTTACAGGACAAGATCACAGCATTGTCTTGGTCACGCAGCCAGACTGACCTGATAGTCACTGGAGATGAACGTGGGACCGTGGTTGTATGGCGATACCGCACAGATGAACACCAGACCTTTCGACATGAAAAGGATTTCATTTTCAGTCTGGCTTGCTGCCCACACAATCCATCCATGTTGGCTGTAGGGTGGGTTGATATTTGGATATAATTACCCTTAACACTGTAACAATAACAGTATAATAGTAGAAATGAAAGTTAAACCATTGTAGTTCCCAGGTAAATACCACACCCTTTGTGTAGTTATGAAGATGGTAGTGGTGGTCCAATTAATTGAAATAATCAAAGATTGGTCGCAGTGGCTAAATGACCAAGCAATCGATCATGTTTTCTCATAATCGAATACAAACTACAAATACAAAGAACTACATGGTTTTTTTTGTTATTTGTTATTTTTTGTGTGCATTATCAAATTTAATAAATGAAGCTAACCAATTACTTTCGTGGATTGATCGGTTGTAATGAACCAATCATCAATTATGAGATTTTAACCAATTCCCAACACTAGAAGATGGTAAATATCAGGATTTCTTGGTGTCAGGTCACAAGTTGATTGGGGGCGATGGGGTAGCCTAGTGGTTAAAGCGTTTGCTCGTCATGCCGAAGGCCCAGGTTCAATTCCCCACGTGGGTACAATGTGTGAAGACTGTTTCTGGTCTCCCCTACCATGATAATAGTTGTAATACTGGAAAATTGTTAAAAGTGGCATAAAACCGAATTAACTCACTCACAAGTTGATTGATTTTGAATGTCAGAAGAAAAAAAACCCCAGCCATAATCCTTCTTTTTAAAAGTTAAGGTCACATGCAACGTAAAACACAACTTTGCAGATTCTGATACCTTTCAGTATGGACATACAGATACAACTCATCAAAAATGCAAATTCAACTTATAAAGTTCACCTCAGCTCTTGGGGTGAAAAGTGGTTTCAACAGCTGTGCTGCGCTCATAGCGCATACGCAGTGAAATAGGATCGCGCAGCTTGGAAGCGGGATGTCCGGATTTAATATAAGGTCGTGAACAGGAGTAGTCTAATCAAAACAAATAGTAAATAATCTACTCATTACATAAAAGAACCTTGTTAGGATCTAGATCTACTCAGCTATGTGTCAACCAGTGAGGCGTTTGACATTTCAAGATGGAAAACCTTCGCTGGCGGTGAATACTAGGTGAAGGCTTTGATGTGAGCTATTTTTCTAATGCTTTGTTGATATTTCACAGGCGCAAGCTTTTTATATGTTATGACAGTAGATTACCAATTTAACTGTTTTTATAATTTCATTTGTCTATTTCACCACACGCTCTTCTTACCGAGTCACTTTCTCAGTTCGATACTTACAAGCAATGTCATTATTTAGCGTTGACAGAATTTCTAACTGTGATATAGATATGTCGTTGTCACAGACAAACTCAAAGTCTGTTTTATTGACACCTATGTGTCTGCCTGCCTGTCTGCTAATGACCATGATGACAATATTCAATACACAACTTCGAACACCTATCAGGCTATAAACCATAAACAAAACGCATTGATTTATGGCCCGAGTTTGGTCTCTGTCACATTATGTAATTACGCTGACAGGCAGGTGTGATACTTGTACACATGACATGTTTTGATGTCTGTTGATTGCAAAATGTTATACACAAAATATGAGCATGTATTTACAAAACCCAACATCTCTATACACACACACACACACACGCACAATGAGCCATGATGCATCGACAAATGAACCAGCCAATGAAAGACCTCGTTACACTAAAGTCTTGAGTGCACACCAACCCGCTCTGACTGGGATCGGTATCCCGGGTGCTTCGTTTCGAGGAAAGTAAACCCAAGTACAAAATATTGCACTTTTGATTTGCGATTGTACACTTATAAGTTTGTTTGTATTTTTTTTCATAATCAGCAATGTATATTATATGTCATGAATAAGTGATAATTGTGTTTTAATTATGTTTGATTTTTTGGCATGTGACCTTTAAACATAAAATAGAATGAAGATTTCATGCATAGCTATTCAAACTTATTTATCATAGTTATAATGCTTTTGTTATCACATAACTATATGGATGTGAACATGGATCAATGTAGGCAAATTAAGGTCAACCAGAAGTAGGTCAAGTTTAGTTATCCCCTGCCGCACGTTTAACGCGCGAAGCGGGGTATATAGTATTAGTCTCTGTCCGTCCGTACAAATTGGAATATCTTAAGAACCGTTCACTAGATTCTTTTCATATTTGGTACCTAGGTTCTTCTCAGTATAAGAAAGGCCCAAGTCAGGTTTGGTGACCTTGACCTTCATTTCAAGGTCACAAGGGGACTTGAACGTTTTGCCTGCATGTTAAGCTATCTCAAGAACCGTTCACTGGATTTTCTTCGTATTCAATACCAAGCTTTATCTAGGAAGGCGCAGGCCCCAGTCGATTTTGGTGACCTTCACGTAATTTTCAAGGTCATGGCGACACTTTGAAGATTTCAGCATGTAAAACTGCATGTTAAGCTATCTCAAGAACCGTTTGGAGGAATTTCTTCATATTTGAAACCAAGCTTTATCTAGGGCAGGTGCAGGGCCCAGTCGATTTTGGTGACCTTCACATAATTTTCAGGGTCACGATGACACTTTGAAGATTTCAGCATGTTAACCTGAATTGTCAGCAAGATATTTCAAGAATGGTTCACTGGATTTTCTTCATAGACTTTTAAGACTTCCCTTGAATGTTTTCAATAAACAATTTTTTTAGTCCTATTGTTGCATATTTCATACCTATGACATTCATATCAAGGTCAAAGTCAGTCTTGAAAATATGTGCGTGTTTGAACACTTAAAGAGCAAGATATCAAGAGAGGTTGACTGGTCATGTTTTTGTTGACATTTAACTTAAACTTTCATTACTTTATAAGTTTGATTTGATAATTTGCGGCGGGGGATTATGTAACCTTAGTGACTATGCTTGTTTTACTCCTGCCAGGTATAAATCAGGCAACATACTGCTGCTGGATGTGTCATCCCGAGGGTACATCCTGCACCGTCTGCGTGGTCATGACGACGAGGTGCACAGTGTTGTCTGGTGCCCAGTGCCGGGGGGAGAATGTGCTGACCGAGGGAGCTTATTCAGAAGCAGGTTAGTAGGCCAGTGGGTCGAGTGTTCATGTATGATGTCGAAGTAGAGGAGGACATTGGATGCACACAGACTCTATAGACACAAGATGTTTGTTGCTCCAAGGAACATGAATTTTTATGTCATTATTTTAATTTTAGGCACATATTTATTGGAGTAATTAGGCATTAACAGTGTATATAATACAATCATCAATATCACAATAATACATAATAGTAGTTTTAGAAAGACTAACAGGTTTTACTTCTTCAAAGACAATACACAGTTATATCACTGTCACTCTTAACAAGTAGGAACCAAGAAAATAGCACAATGTTGATATTTATTTTAGGTGTAATAAGACTGTGAGTCTCTTACTTTCCCTATTTGTATGGTAAGTAGGTAGCAGACTCATGCTGTTAATCACTAGCAGGGCTCCAGATAAAGGCCGTATCGGCGTATGTATGGATAAAACATAAGCACGATACGACAGGAAATAATTTAGGAAGCGTAGCAGATACGCACCAGAGCAATGGTGTATGGTCTTAGAATCATTTACAGACGTATTTATCTGAAAAATTATTGATTTATTGTATATTGACCGGTTTACACAAGAGTAGCAATGTTGTGGTGCATATATGAAACGAAACACAAGATTATTGATACACCATTAAGTTCCATTCAGTACTCTAAATGTACTCTTAAGTTTTTCCAGTACTCCTATATTGAAAAAATAAGGAGTACGTACTCCTGATGAAAAATTATCTGGAGCCCTGCACTAGATTGTCTGGTCCAGACTCGATTATTTACAGGCCGCTACTATTTAGCTGGAATATTGCTGAGTGTGGAATTATACAAACCAACCAAACCAATCATGTGATAACCATATGACCATATGATTTACACTCTTATCTCTTGTCCATGCAAGGAGTTTTTACAGAGTGCAAACTGTTTGACAAAGGGTTAACCTGCTTAATCATTTGAGCATATCATGCCTTCGGTTTCCTAAGGTCTTCAGGGATTTTACTACTACTATTGTAACCACTAATTATATATATACAAAATGGGAGTCACTAAAAATTTAGTACATATGTACAAAGTTACATCTGCGACAACTGCACCAGGTTCAATTCTGAATCATGGGACATGGTGTTACCTTGTGCTTTAGTGCTTGCTCATCAAATTGATGACGAAAGTTTAGTTCAGCATTGCGCGTGATGGTAAGCTGTTGGTTTGAGCATTTGCTCGTGATGCTGAAGACTGCCTTTGATTTAGATAAGTTCTTGTGACCCCTTTTTGTGACATTGCTGAATGTGGATGACAGATTTCTGAATGTGTCTGCATTTAAATTGATGTCTGGTCAATAACATACATTAACTGCAGTATATTTTACTGTCAGCTAAAAGGGTTTGATCCCGAACATTTTGTGGATAATGAAGACAAAACATATCCATCTGGCAAGTTATTCTCGAAATGTTGGTGGCCCTATGAACTTCTTATGCCCATTCTTAACACATTGGCTACGATCGAAGTTAAGAGTTCTTAGGGCTACAAACGTTTCGAGAATAAGGGCCCTGTAGTGTAAATACGACAGAGAAATTATTTTGAGGGAATCAAGCAGAAAGCAGGACACATCCCCAGCACTTCATGCCCTCTCAAAGGAAGTCTGTATTAGAGTAGTTGATCATGGTCATGTTATTGTGCACTAGTTGGTCTAGTCTGTATTGAACTGTTTACATGTACTATTATATAGCTGTGGTCTTGGTAGTACTGAGACATAAACAATTCATTCACGCATGCCTGACATTCCTGTTTCTCCAGGAGATGATGCGGAAGGTTATCTGCTGGCTTCGGGATCCCGGGATAGAACAATACGAATCTGGAAGTCCAGCCAGGGGAAGCAACTCCAGGTGAAGAAACTCCCACTCAACACAGGCAACCGACGTGACAACACAGATAGTCAAGGGAGGAGCAAGGTGTGGACGTCCCTGTACTGGCCACTGGACAACCCAACACAGCTTGTGTCATCCTCATTTGGGTAGGATTCTTCAAATAGGAGAGCTCTCTTTACTGTATTCTGATGGATATAGGGGCATTGGGGTAGCCTGTGGTTATATAAATATTCCCCACATGGGCACAATGTGGCCCATTTGTCCCCTGTGATATTGGTATTGCAAAAGCTGTTAAACTCAGTCAGTCTGTTGTGGTGGCCTGTCAGGTTCTAAATCTTTCTAATTTGACAGTCAACTTTTCCTTCTGAAATGGCTGCTCATGTGGATAGATATTACTAGATGAAAAGTGAAGAGTCCCTCAAATGAATCTTTTCCCTGGGATTCTTGATTAGAATTGGTCCAACCATTGATTGTCGCACAAGGAGACATTACATCCTGATAGTTGGATATCTGTGTTATCTTAACATCAATAACCATGATTACTTGTATGTCTGTACCAGTTGCGATTATTTACAGGCTGTTTTCTCAAAGCTGGAATATTGCAAAGTGATTAACTCAAAGCATAACATTTGATCACAACCTTTATGTTCAAATGACTGTGACTTAAGTGACTATCCCTTTACTATGTTTATTGTAATGCTAGATATATAACACTGCCTGACTTTCTCTAGGGGTGAGCTTGTGATGTGGGATCTGTCTCCGGTGGGCCACAAGAGGGAGATATTCCAGGCAGGAGACAGTCGTGTCCACTCACGCATCGTCTTCAACATCTGTGCAGGTGGAGAGGAGATGAACACACTGTTTACTGTGGGCATGGACAGGACGGTGAGTGGCCAGCAGTTAGTTACCAAAACTGCAACTTGGAGATCCCACTGGCATCTGTGGGATAAGCTGGTCTTGCATCAGAAAAACATAATGTGCATAATGCCATGAATTTGGATATTCTGAATTCAGAATGTTCATATACTCATAATGGCACAAGGCTCAGACCTGTTCATCCTTGATATATGATCAATTTATTCACTAGCAAGAATGCATCTGGGGATCCTGGACAGGTAACACCTGTTGGTAACCAAGGGTTGAGGGTACCCAGGGGAGGGAGAGACATGTGTTTTGGTTCTGTGTTACAGAATGGTTGTGGTTTGTTATTTGAAAGATGAAATAATTGTGTTGTTTTTCAAACAGATTGTTCTGTGGGACCTTGAGCGTCAGTGTTCCGTCTACTCCATTCCATCACTCGGGGGACACGTGTACAGCTTGGAGACATCGCCACTTGATCCTGGTGAGGAGAAGGATGATTATGATGGTGATGATGATGATGAATTTATATAGTGCCTGTTTCCAAAAAGCATTTGCTCAACGGCACTGAAGAAGAAAGACTGAAAGACTACGAGAGGGATATTGTAAACAGATGGGTTTTTATGGCTTCTTTGAAATGGTCTTTACAGTCAATTTCTCTGATAGTGATTGGGAGGGTGTTAGAGTAGTGTGCGTCCAGAGGATGTACTTCTGTTTAGATAGCTGATATACAACCAGATATGTCCATTGATGTTTCTGCATGAGAATATGTCTGCAGTATCCTGAAGTAGAAGATTCAGATGACTATGACAATATGTGATCTGGCAGATGTCATTGTTCCCAGAAAGCATTTATTGTGGTCATCCTGGTATCTGGTTGTGACTGTAAGACTGAAATGGCCCTGAGGCCCAGATAAGCTGCGTATTTGGGTAAAATACTCACAGAAAATTTCCAATTACACATTGAAAAATAATTGTTGCGTACCAATTACGCATTTAAACTGTTAGATACGCACAAAGTTTAAGACTTATGCGTACGGAATATATTTATAAAAATCACTTGCATAGTGAAAAAGACATCGATTGGTATCAAGTTGTACTGTTAGTATAGGACAAGTGTTGTACTGTCAGTATAGGATGAGTGATTTTTTATGAAATCATTTCCATTATATTTAAGTTGGTTTTGCTTCGGTATGACATAAGGCAGTACATACCTGCTTAGAAAACTTACTCAATGACATATACTTAGGTGAGTAAAATCACTGAAATACCCACATATTTGAAAGCAGTGGGTAACGGAAAATGAAATACCCACTCAACATTCATAATACCCACTCCAAAAAAAATACAGTGGGTACAGTACCCACATGAGCTAAATCTTATCTGGAGCTCTGATGGCATTCATTATCTCTGTGTAAAAAGAGATTATGAGTAAATTCTCTGTAACTGAAGTTACTTAATGACTGAACCAAAACTACCTATCTCACTCACTCACTCACTCCAGTGGTTTTAACCATTGAAACATAGAAAGCTGAAATTGATTGTTTAATGTTGAACAGGTCGGGTTGCTGTCGGTGTTGGGGACAACACCATCCGTGTTTGGAACACCAACAACAAGGTCAACCCTTTTGACATCAACACCTTGTGGCAGGGAATCAAGTCCAAGGTGACCTCGGTGAGTACACACAGTTGATTGTGTGTCATGGGTTTGTGTCTTACTGAAGCCATCAACATATTGTTGGTAGAATCAAGTCATCCCAACACATTAAATGTCAGTATCCACATGATGTAATTTAAAAGTAAAGAAAAGCACTCTTTAAAATGTGTCCTGTTTGTGGATGTATATATATATTATATAACCACCATTATTATGATGTGTCTATCAAGAACAATATGGTGCCTAATGAACATGTCTTTGTGTTTCCAAACAACAGCTCTGCTGGCATCCCACAAAGGAAGGTCAACTTGCGTTCGGCACCGACCATGGCAGTGTCGGCATATATGACGTGATGACAAACAAGTAAGGGCTGCTTCATGATGCGTCTCATACTGCACGACTGTGCATGTCACGTGCATGTCATGTGCATGTCATGTGCATGTCATGTGCAATACAAGTAATAAATAATGCATGATAACAATGTACAATGTGCTCGGAGATATTGCTGATGATGTTTGTTTTTAAAGCATCAATTGTAGTGTTCACGTGTTTGCGCATTTGTTTATACCCCTCACAACGCGTTTTGCGGGGGGTATTAAAATGGACTCCGTCCGTGCATGCGTCCGTCCGTCCGTCCGTCCGTGCACTTTTGTCTTTTCCGGAGCAGAACTCTACAACCGTTCACTATTTCTTCACCAAACTTGGCACATAGATAATTTTTCCTTATCCTGACTCATGCTCTTTTGCTTGTCTCCTTCCTCTTGCGAACATAGTGGAACACTTGTATCTCCCTAATTGAAGTTCCCTTCAATGTAAAATCACTAATTAGTACACCACGAGTTACCTCCCTTCCACAAGCGTGGGAACGAGGGCGCCACCTCTACCCATGTGCCTCACTCTCTCCTTCTTCGCCCAGTGAGCTGGACGTGAGAGCGCCTGTGTCTCCCGACACACTATATCCTTTGATTATATTTAGTTAGTTACCTCGTATAGACATCTATAGAGGTTTAGCTAGTATCTTCAACAATTATATATTGATATTTAGTGGTGTTTCTACTGTTTATTCACGGGCCGTGTTGTTTCAGTGGATTACGTTGATAAAATTCTGTACTGTTGCACATTCGGTTTTTTATTCTGCTGCTGATCCGCATTTAATATGCCTAGCTGTACTGCGCCATGTTTCATGTTATTCACATTGCAGTTGCGGTACTAATTTATCAATTCTGCCTTTAATAAATATTACTTTGCGTTTGAGGCGCGCGCAGCAGATAGAGTCGCGTATGCAGAGTCTAGCCATGACTGATACACCTGAACCCCTCGCCAGTCTACTGCTGTTGGTCGACCCCCCTCCGTCTGGTGTTCGCTAGAGTGGTGGAGGCGTGGGGCGTAGTCCGCCGCCTCAAGAAGCGTCCTGCTTCCCCAGACATCCCATCGTCGCGGCCGAAGACTAGAGGGTTTCTACTGCATCTCAGCGACCTCTGAGGGGAATCAGCGAAGTCTACTTGAACTTTCTCAGCGAGATTGTTCCCGTCGCAGATTTGGGCCTGTATGATGATCAGCCGATCATCATACCTGATAATACATCAAAAGAATGACCGATGTCGACAACAGTGATGTCAGCGCCAGATCAACATGCAGCCTGATGTACCAACGCTGATATTCTTCCTGAGGGTCCGTTAAGCTACCAACACTCAGCAGACTTAGCACCCCCAGGGCAGCGTCGACCTCTGAGGGGAATCAGCGAAGTCTACTAGGACTTTCTCAGCGAGATTGTTCCAGCCGCTGAACTGGGCCTCTCGATGATCAGCCGATCATCATCCCGGCGTCGCATACAAGAAGCGACGGGAGACAGCTACAGTGACATCAGCAGAGATCGCCATGCAGCCTGAGGTCTCTACACTGGCGTCAGGCGACTTCCCTGAGGGCCCGCCCGCTAACATCGCCAGAGAGGGCACCGACTAATTAAATCGCCAGACCATCCCAGATGAACTGTTGCGGCAAATCATGATCATGATGGAGGGCCACTACAGACTGGAGAAGCAGCCAGCCCAAGGCCTGAGCCTTCTCGAAGGTTCCAAGCATGAGCGACACCCCAGAGGCACCCCCATCAGCGTAGCAGCCACGACGAAGCCACCTTTGCGAAGGAAGTCGCCCAGACCACCTCGACGAAGGACCCAGATGTACAGCCTTCCGAAGGCCTTGCTGAAAAGCGGGATAGATCATCACCTTCCTTGGCTTCATCCTTAGATCGCGGACTCAGACCATCAGACCTCACGGAAGCCTTCAGCGAAGGTCAAATCGCCCGTTCCCAGGACCCGGACGCAGAGGAAGCTTTTCGCGAAGGCCTTCAGCGAAGGACACCCTGACTACACAAGAGCTTCGCGAAGCTATCAACATTCTCCTCACAGGTCTCCGAGAAGGTCAACCCATAGGCGCCAGATCACCAACCACGATCTCAGCGCCCGTTCACAGCGCCCGATCTCCTCGTTACATCACCACGCCGTCGATCGTCTCACAGGTCACCACACAAGTCTGCACACAAGTCTACAGTCAGGTCTCCCGGGCGTCACCCGACATAGAGATAGAAATACACAGTCCACCATCAGAAGAGCATCAACCTCTCATCAGCGATGCTGGGATAGAAAATGATGGAGGCATCATTTTCTCAGGCGCTGAGATCGATATTGGATGGTAAACAACCTAGATCTCTCTTCACCTTCCAAGAGTGGCAACTTCGGCGCAGACATACCTGATAAAGGAAGGCGAGGCAGAGCGCCATCACCTTACCTCCGATCGACTTCGATTGCTGCGGTGCCACAGTATGTGGACACAGCCTACCATAAAGCCATAACAGTTCAAAGCGCCAGAGGCGTATGTTCTTAACCTTAATAGATCTAGAGCGATCAATGAGATTCTTATCACCAGATTTAAGTGACCGCGACTTCTGAAAGATGATAGGATGATCTACTCGGCTCTACTTATGCAGAACCAGCAAGAACCACACCCTGTATGAAGCTAGCGCTCATATATTGATCGGATTCTAGACGCCGGCTAAAGGAAGTCCCAGGCCACCTCAGCGAAGGAGCTAGAGCCTCACCAGTTACAAGGGGCGTCCGCGAGGAGTAGTAAGCTTCACCGACCCACATATTGCTGAGTCGCGGTAAAACAAAACACTCACTCACTCACTCCTGTTGAACACAGAGGTGGATTCAGCGAAGCAAGCTCATATATTATATATATACTGATCGGGGCTCTGACTCGATACCTTCGCGAAGGTCGCGAAGGCTAAGTGGCTCAAGTCTACCTCACACAGAAAATCTAGAATGGATACTTCGAGAGCTTAGCGAAGTCTCCGGCGTCCACCGAGGAAATCTCCTCCAAGGTCTCCATATATTAGCCACTTTCGTCATATATAGCTACTTTCGTCAGTCCGTTCAAGACATCGCATAAGTTGTCTATCAACTGTATGCCATATGCGATCTATAAGCCTCTGTGAAGACAATTGCACAGGCTATTTACAACACAGAGCGTCGCTATATTAATTAGTCAGCGGCGTTTCATAGATCTTCACAGAAATCAACCTTTCCGTTATAGATTGCTAGAATATGCAATCCCGGACTCTGATCGATTATCTACATGCGTGACCATTACGCCAATCTGCAGACAATTCAATATCGAAATTGAACAGCAGCCTTGTTACAGCGAGTATAACTCATAATCGTCAAAGTTTCTGAGAAGAAATATGTACAACAAGTTCAGCTTTAATTCTACAATTATGGCGATACATTCATGTATACAGTCTACAAGCTGACAACTTGCAAGTTTATTGTACCTTTATATAAGGAAGTGAATTATATTCAAAACTGAAGTTACTTTCCGACAGCCAGGAAAATAACCTACCCAGCATTAATATTACAGGCGAGGTATTTGGCGGAGGTTTCAGCGTTTACCTTTAACCCTCGAAACAAGTGGTCACTTTCGGGTAACCGAGGAAGCTACGGTGAAGACCGGCGATTATGCTAATATCAGCGGCGGCAAGATTTTATACAAGGTTTTTCCTGCTACACGGTGACATCACAGCGGGGGTATTCTACAGAATCAAAATGCCTTGTTCTGATTGGACGCGTTGGACAGCGACCTCGCGAGAGGTCGATCTTAGTTCACAGTTCAAGACTTACGTTACAAGTGACAACTATATATCAGTGAGCGAGCAAGCCTCCTTACAGTCCAGTTAATCTGAACCTTCATGATTGGGCTGCTTTCTTCAGGTTAGAGACCTCCCCTGTCAAGTTAGGGCGAGGGGCCGCGGCAGTCAGGCAATTTTACATAAAGTTCAGCGAGGACAGACACACCTGGTTGTGCACCTACATCGTCAAAGGACTTAGGCGAAATAACCTAGGCGACGGGATACAAGTGGATCTAAATCCACAGCGTCTCAGACTACAGCTGAATTTCATAATCAAGCTACTAACACAACTAGATGGTTAGTAAACCTACTTAAACTTTCTGATTGGAGAATTAAAGCGGAAGTTTCACCCTCCAACTTGGGGATCTGAATATAGTGCTCCAACACCTCACAAGTGAGGTTTATGAACAACGCCTGGATGACATACTTGGACTTCATGATCACGATGATTCTATCACGATGGCCAGCAAGAGCACTGTAAATTTATCTCCACCGAACCAAACAGAAGGGAATAATGCAACAGATTATTTCCTCTATCATCAACTTCGCAGAATGAAATCTCCGCATTACTATATCTCCGTTTGGATCAGAACTGTCATACTACGTGCATACAAGGCGGATGGACCCAATCCGACCCTCCATGAGCTTTTAATACTCATGATATTAGAAGCTAACTTCTACAATTGATCTACACAATGTTATTTGAAATAATGGAGGTTTATTTTCTGGAGATCGATATGGTGGTTGCCAACCATTATCTGAGAGATATCATCACCGAGGGCGTCTCAGGTATCCACCAATTCGATCCCATGGTCCTCGCACAACAGTTGACAGTTCCTCGGAGAAGATAAGTCAATCTTACAGATTTCTACTTATCTTATAACAGTACTAAATAGCTACATGCTATATATAATTTGCTTAAGTTCTTTTTATCATCACAGTACTATGATTATTACATCATACAATATATAAGTTAACAACTCTACAGAGTTGGTTATTATATATTTACCTTAACTTAATTATATCTTAAGCATAGTACTATACTCAGATTGTAAAAATATATAAGCTAACAAACTCTACAGAGTTTGGGCTATTATATAGGTAGCTTAAGCTTATTCATATCTTAAGCTCAGTACTATGTTTATATCATATAAGTATATTAGCTAACAAACTCTAAAGAGTTTTGCTATTTGGCTTAAGTCTCATCATATCTTAAGCAATATGGTTTACATTATAACATGTATTAGCTAACAAACTCTCTTGAGTTCTTTGCTATTATATATGTAACTTAAGCTTATTCATATCTTAAACGCAGTACTATGTTTATATCATATAGGTATATTAGCTATCAAAACTCTAAAAGAGTTTTTTGCTATTATATATTTGGCTTAAGTTTCATCATAATTTAAGCTTTATGGTTACATTATAACTTGTATTAGCTAACAAACTCTACGGAGTTTTGCTATTATATATATGTAGCTTAAGTTTTCCTTCAAATCTTAAGCTCAATACTATGTTTATATCATATAAGTATATTAGCTAACAAACTCTCACGGAGTTTTGCTATTATATATGTAGCTTAAGGTTTCCTTCAAAGCTCAATACTATGTTTATATCATATAAGTATATTAGCTAACAAACTCTCTGAGTTTTGCTATTATATATGTAGCTTAAGGTTTCCTTCATAAACTCAATACTAGGTTTATATCATATAAGTATTTTAGCTAACAAACTCTAAAGGGTTTTGCTATTATACAATTAGCTTAAGTTTCATCATATCTTAAGCAGTATGGTTACATTATAAAATGTATTAGCTAACAAAACTCTACGGGAGTTTTGCTATTATATATATAGCTTAAGTTTAATTATATCTTAAGCTCAGTACTATGGTTATAACATAAAAGTATATTAGTTAATAAACTCTAAGGAGTTTTTTTTGCTATATACATTTAGCTTAAGTCTAATCTTATCTTAAGCTTAGTACTATGGTTACATTATTAATCTATAAGCTAATAAACTCTACAGATATATATGTAGCTTAAGTTAATTATATCTTAAGCACAGTACTATACTCATATTGTAAAAATATATTAGCTAACAAACTCTACAGAGTTTTGCTATTATATAGGTAGCTAAAGCTTATTCATATCTTAAGCTCAGCACTATGTCTATATCATATAAGTACATTAACTAACAAACTCTAAAAGAGTTTTGCTATTATATAATTAGCTTAAGTTTAATCATATCTTAAGCTTAGTACTATGTTTATATTTTAAAGTAATTTAGCTAACAAACTCTAAGGAGTTTATACTAGCATATTAACAAGCTTAAGTCTATTAGTCTTAAGCATTGTATTAATGTTATATATACTTTATCATAATAAGTACATTGTAATAACCTTTATATGGCAGCTGATAAGTTAGCAGCAGGAATTCATCAGTTCAGTGCCTTTATGAAGTTCCCATAGGGTTATTACAATCATCACAGTTCAAATCACTAATTATTAAAATCCAAAGTATTATATATTCCCACCTCCAATCCATTAGGATTCTACAAACAAAAAGAGCATGAGTCAGGATAAGGAAAAATATGTAATTTTTGAGTAAAATTGATATTTTATACTTATCCTGACTTATGAGGTCAGCCCTCCCTTCCTCCCCAAATAACACTTTGGATTTCCCTGTAAATTCAAATGTTGGGCTCAGTATATGAGGAGAGAGTGAGGCACATGGGTAGAGGTGGCGCCCTCGTTCCCGGGCTTGTGGAATGGAGGTAACTCGTGGTGTACTAATTAGTGATTTTACATTGAAGGGAACTTCAATTAGGGAGATACAAGTGTTCCACTATGTTTGCAAGAGGAAGGAGACAAGCAAAAGAGCATGAGTCAGGATAAGTATAAAATATCAATTTTACTCAAAAAATTACATGATCTGGTGGTGTACTGATGCCTTTTGGTAGTTTTGGATTTCTGAATAAAATACTTTTGGTGTTTCCATGGCAACAATTTCGACTTAGACTGAAATTGGTGGTAGTGCTCTTTTCCGGAGCAGAACTCTAAAACCATTCACTATTTCTTCACCAAACTTGGCACATAGATAGATCTGGTGGTGTACTGGTGCCTTTTGGTAGTTTTGGATTTCTGAATAAAATATTTTTGGTGTTTCCATGGCAACAATTTCGACTTTGACTGAAATTGGTGGTAGTGCTCTTTACCGGAGCAGAACTCTAAAACAGTTCACTATTTCTTCACCAAACTTGGCACATAGATTGGTCTGGTGGTGTACTTGTGCCTTTTGGTAGTTTTGGATTTCTGAATAGAGTATTTTGCCATTGCGGGGGTTATTGATGACTTTGTCTTCTTGTTTTAGTGTGATATGTATTTTAACGGTATGCTTTGTGTAACAAGGCATGGGTTACACTCCTTAAGTCATGGAGCAAGAAATAAGAAACCAAGCATGGTCTATGATACAAGGTCTTTCTTCATTTGTTATCAAGTGTGACACAGCCCACATTCCTTTGGTATAACATTACAGCAATGTGTTCAACAAGTTTGCATGTTACAGTTCTCCAGTTGTTTTGTTCATTGATCATTGTTAGTCAATTTGGTTGGCATTATATCTTTGGCGACTTTTGATTCTTTCAAAATTATGCAGTCACTAACGTGACTACCATCAATAATAAGTGAGGGTTCAGGTAAGTCATCCAAGCAGCAGCTATTGACTGTGATGAGTTAGGTCCCTTTGTTTGCCAGCATCCTGTCTGCTCGGTTTGAATCTGAGATGGTTAGGATTCATGGTATATTTAAAGTACACAAATGGTAATGGGCTTTACCAAAGTGGTAAATGTCAGACAACAATTTGGACTTTCCTCCCACATTAAGTGGACAGAGTGGTATGACTGAATACTGTTCGAGGCAGCATTTAAGCTGAGTTACATACAGTTGTTTTATCTGCTAAGAGCATGGCAGTCGTTTTAACACATTATTCTGATATGTTATTTATTAATCAAAGCAAGTTTGACTTTATTATCTTTTCGATTTCACTGATTTCATTTGGAATGTATACCTTTGTACATAGGCACATTTCTCTTGATAAATCCATTTGATTCAGGTTTATTTTTCTTTATGTGTACTTTCCAGACATCCAAATGTATCTTCGACGTTTCACCGACGAACCGTGTATGTGGTTGCCTTTGGCCCTGGTTCCAGATCTGACGATGCTGGCGAGTGTCCTGTAGCTGGTGTTCAGGGTAATCACTGTACTCTTGTCTGTAAACACTTTTGATATTGGTGCAGGTTATGTTTTTCAGACTACAATCATGTTATGTATTTATTGATGTTAAGACTTTAACTGATTGCACTTTTTGCTCTTGGGTTTAGTTTAGTCTGTGTATACTTGGTGTCCTGTGATCTCAGTCATTCCATTTGTAGAGACTGATAGGGATCTCCTTCATTTGACCGACTCACTGGGTAAACCAAATCAGACATGGATTGTTGGAACATTGACTGTGTTATATGAACAAAAGTTTCCCATAATTTGTTTTTCATTTTTCATTTTATTCATTTTCATCCATACTCATGTACACATCCAATGAGACTCACAGTGGATATTATTTGTCTTCTTTTTTAATCTGTAGAAATGGAGTACACCATTGTTTGCATCCTGGTGAACATTGGTTTGTAGGGCTGTAACAATACATCAAACTATCGGTGGTTGCAATTGTTGAGTCTCCAATAGCAATAAATAGATGGTAGAAACGAAAAATTATTGATGCATCGATAGTATGTGTGACTATCGATAGTTTAATAATTGACGTCCGTTGATAGATGAGCAGTTCAAAATACAGGTGGTACCAGATTCGTTCGCTTTGATTTAGAGTTATCTGCCCCTGTTACTTCTTAAAGGTCACATAAACCCTAGGGGGTACAAATACATAAATCACTAACTGGCATCGTTATAAATGAAACCCCATGATTAAAACTACTCATTTCGACCTTTAATTGACTTAAATCGACCTTTTTGACAACAGTGCACAATTCTCACCCGCGAACGAAATTTCAACCAATCAGAGCGGCGCGTCTCTGTGACGTCATATGAGGAATAGCTTTGAGGGCCGATGCAGAATTCATCTACATTTTAGGGGGTAAATTATCTTGTTTACAGGCTTGTATAAACCTGAAATCGTGACAATTGTTGTGGAAAATGAAAGCTATATGTTCTCACAATCTACTGTCATTTAATTTTGTCTCCTGCTTTGCCTAGTTTCGAGTTACAACTTGTTTTCATAGACGATTCTGTCAAAATCGATTGGTGTCGTTAGGCCCTATTTGTATAATGACTGATCTAAATTGATCCCATTTCTGTGTTTTTTACCTCGATATTTAATCATGTCATGTAAAAATCTGTTTGTATTCTCAAAACAGTGTCGGCCCATAAGTTTTCACATGCAATACAGCAATTAATACTCCTTGTTGTAACCCGTGTTAGGTGGTATAAACCTACACATGTTATTTGTCATCATTCACTTGATGGTCAGTTAATGAATTTATAACAGGTATAATTAGTGGTAACACACTTAGATTACCCGACAAAGGTTCCCATTTGGCATTTCTTGTGTCTGCAGTAAATATTCAACATTATAAACATCGATCAAAGGATTAACCGATAACACGCTGATTGATTAATTACTTTTATCTTACACAGCGGAATTGTCAAAAGGTAGTGTTTATGTATGTAAATTTACTAATCTATACTGAATACACTCTGTCGTGGTATTAGATGTCTAGCGTAAAACAACGTGCTTAGTTCAAAAGATTAACGGGCAATACATTGATTGATTGCCCATTATTGGCTAACTAAATTACTGTTTTTAAAGAAAGGCGGACATTATGCAATTAGTTGCCAGGTGTGCTATCTTGGGTGACCAATGAGACTATACACCAATACCTGAAAAGATTGATCACTTTTTCGTATATTAAACTGTTAAAAGACACATCATTTGGAACAGTTTTGTGTGATATTGATGGATACATTCCTCGAACAAGGTAATGGCCTGATATTGTGCCTATAACTTTAATCTGTTTTAATTTTAATATTTGCATTTTGTTTTATTCATTTGTCGTAGCATTCAACAGAATCATTGTTTTCACCGTGAAGTGTAATGAGACAGACAACATACACTAGGGTGTGTGTGCGGATTATGATTCACATTGGCAAACTATAAAATGTCTAGCTATTACAGTTTTGTTATAAATTCACTATAAGTATCAGCAGATCGTCTGCTTTTATTTAGTTTCAAAATGCATACGTATGATAACAAACTAATTAGGATTATAAGGCCAAATATAAAGGCGTATACATTGACTAGTATCTACATACTGGTGAGTGGACATTAACCATGTGAATGTAGCAAGACATTTACCGCGCCAGTATTGTCACTTAGCCCCCCACCTGCAAGCTTCCATGGAAGAAATCGTTATGTTATAAGTTGTGTCATGCAAAATCCGTTTGGTTATGATTCCAATACATATTTAGCTTCACGAGTAGAAAGTAGTTTTGATTTTCTAACTTGATGAAAACAAACTATAATCTCATTAATTCTAACAGACTTTACGATTTTCAAAATGAAAGAGCACCCTGTCGGGAAATCATCCGCCAGTCTGAGGATAAATGCTATTTAGGTTTGTTTTCACCGAGTTACAAAATCAAAACTACTTTCTACTGGTAGTAAAATATTTATTTTATTTATGGCCAATAGGATTTTGCATGACATAAGCATTATAACATAACAATAACAATTTCTTGGCAGCGGTGGGTGTCAATATAATACTACTTATAATATTATTGTTACCGACCACAACCTCACTTCGAGGAGAAATCGTTATGTTACAAGTTGTGTCATGGAAAATCTTTATGGTCATCAATCATATACATATTTCTACTACAACTAGTAAGTAGTTTTGATTCTTTAACTTTCGTTGAAGCGATCTGAACACAAGTAAGATATCGTTTCAGGCTTCCACAGCGCCAAGCCGCACTCAACAAATATAACCCATTTAGCACGAACTGCGGGTCCTGTGGAAATCTGTGCATGGTGACACCATCGCCCGACCCCTAAGAGCAATTGGCGACAAAGCAGCGATTCAGCATGTCGCCGTTGATGTCGAGAAATCATCAAAGATGAGCATGCTACACACTTTCTATACAACTAACTGAAAATCGTTCCTCATATGACGTCACTGCAGTGCTCTGGCGACAGAGTTACGTAACCTGTCTGTGGTTTTGTTGGCGGGCGAGAGAGAAGCAGGCGACTTTTTGGCCACTTTTAATCGCTCGGTATTAATTAACCACAAGTTTTTAAAGAATAAATTTGGTGTTCAGCATAAGACTAACCACAAATCTTTCATATGTAATGGTTAAAAGAGTAACAAAAAACAAAGTTTAGTGGTTCTTTAAACAAATATGGTGGCAAACACGGCATGGCACTCGAGTTTGAAATTGTGAATAACAATAAGTTTGTTTTAACTGTTTACTTGATCAAGTTTCTTGTCAGTTATTAAAAGAGACTGGAACTACTTGAACTTGTTTTTATTTCATATAACCTTTGGGAAATGTGGGAAATTACTCTAAATGAGACAATTCAAGAAGAAAAAAACCTATTGCAATAGTTGGTCGCAATAGACTATCGCTATCACAATAGTGTGTTGCAATAGACTATCGCTATCACAATAGTTGTTTATCCCTCAATAGTCACCCCTATTGGTTTGTCTGTCTTCAGCTGAGTCGTCCTCCATCAGCTTGTACAGTGTGGGGGACTCGACCGTGCTGGAACACAGGCCCCACGCATTCAACAAGGATGCTGTGGACATCAATCAACTCATTGAACAAGTCAATGGAAAAAGGGTAAGTTTTCTTCAGAGTTAAGTTTGCCATAAAGAATCTACAGGAACACATTTAGGTTACTTTGTGCGCATGATTGAGTGATTGGCCAGGGCTCTGCATCCACAGGTTGGGCCATGAGTGGACCTTCAATCTGGGACACCAGTGAGCAGACTTGAAACCTTGAAATCTGGTTTTTGTTTGTACTAAATACAATGCCATCCGGTAATTCCGCACACCTAAGCACATCAATCGCAACACGGCAACTAGCGTCTCTTATTTTTTGTGGTTTACGTGACTAAACATGCTGGTATGCATCATATTTACCTAGAAATATAGGTTTTATTGACGACTATAAGATTCAGCAACTGATGCGCATAACATCCAGCTGGGGATCCGAAGTATGGAAGCGTATTAGGGCCAAATTATTTTCAAAAATCACTTCATCAATTTACTAAGGAAGAGTGTTTCATATTAAATCCAATTATGAATAATGAAGAAAAAGGTTAAAAAATCTGAAGAAAACAAATTTTCATAAAACTGTCAAATTATCTGTTAATTACTGTTATTTACTTACCTTTAGTGATTAAAAGCCAGTCCCTTGTAGAAATGTCCCGATTTCAAGCGTAAATGTGGTAGCAGACGATGTTTACCTGCGATCGGAAGTTCGCTATTGCAGCTGCGCAGAATTACTGGATGCGCAGAATTACCGGACTCGCTTGTATGTGAAAGAGCTTAATTACTTAAAGGTCACATGCAACCAAAAAATCAAACATAATTAAAACACAATTATCACTTCTTCATGACATATAATATGCATTGCTGATTATGAAAAAACAAATAAACAAAATTATAAGCGTATAATCGCAAATCAAAAGTGCAATATTTTGTACTCCCTCGAAGCGGGCAGCCGGATACCGAACCCAGTCAGAGGCGGTGGGTGTGCACTCGAAACGAAGCAGCCTAGTGGTTAAAGCGTTAATTTCACCGTCCACGCCCGAAGGCGGTTTGACCATGGGCAGTCAAGCCCATTTCTGGTGATATTGCTGGAATATTGCTGCACTCAAAAACTGTAACGGCTGGTTCATTAGCAGATGCCGCCTTCCGGCCTCATTGTGTGTGTATATATAGAGATGTTGGGTTTTGTAAATACATGCTCATTTTTGTGTATAACATTTTGCAATCAACAGACATCATGACATGTCATGTGTTCAAGTATCACACCTGCCTGTCTGTGTAATAACATAATGTGACAGAGACCCGAACTTCGGGCCATAAATCAATGCGTTTTGTTTATGGTGTATAGCCTGATTGGTGTTAAGTTCAAATTGCATGTGGTCAGTGATCGCAGTTGTGTATTGAATATTGTCATTAGCAGACAGGCAGGCAGACACACAGGTGTCAATAAAACAAGACATTGAGTTTTGTCTGTGACAACGACATATCAATATCACAGTTAGAAATTGTGTCAACGCTAAATAATGACATTGCTTTTAAGTATCGAACTGAGAAAGTGCCTCGGTAAGAAGAAGCGTGTGGTGAAATAGACAAATGAAATTATATAAACAGTTTATTTACTGTCATAACATATAAAAGCTCAAGGCTTTGTGAGATATCAACAAAACATTATGAAAATAGCTCACACCAAAGCCTTCACCGGTATTCACCAGACAGCCCGCTTCCAAGTTCGCGCTGAACCTATTTCACTCGCGCCGCATACTATAAGGCGCAGCCCAGCTGTTGAAACCCGTATTCCCCAGAAAAGTCTGGGGAAAATTAGTGAAACGTTTGAACTCCGATTTCGCGCGTTTTTTTTCATCGCGTTATTTTTCAACTTTATAAGTTGAATTTGCATTTTTGACGCTTTGTTTCGGTAAGTCCATACCGAAAGGTATCAGAATCTGCAAAGTTGTGTTTTACGTTGCATGTGACCTTTAGGGCTTGCCTCACCATCGAGCGGAACGTCTGTGATATAACTGGAATACTCCAGTTAAACCAAACTCACTGATTCTGTAGTCAAGGAACTGAATGGAAGATTGTAATTCAACTCCCTGTTCATGTACAGTGTCATTGTTATGAAGCCTTGGGCTATATATTGTGATGGTGGTTCTGATTGAGATTTGTTGTTTCAGAGCCACAGCCAGGGTAGAACAGACATCTGCTGGAAGCCAGACAATTCAGTGGTGGCAATAGCCAGTGATGATGGGTCAGTAGCTCTTTGGGCAGGGCTTGGGTCACTGTAGAGAAGGGGTAACTACAGGGCTAGGGTCACTGTAGGCTGGAGGGAGGGGGGTGTCACAACAGAGTTGGGGGTCGCTGTAGGACTGGGGGTCACTTCAGTGCTGAGGGTCACTGTAGGCTGGGGGTCACTGTAGGACTTGGGGGTCACTACAGGGTACCCACTACAGAGCTGGGGGAGAGAAACTAGGTCTGGGGGTAGGGGGCAATTCAGAGCTGGGGGTCACTACAGAGCTGGTTTTCAATGTTGGGCTGAGGATCACTACAGAGCTGGGGGTCACTGTAGGACTGTGGCTAACAGCACAGCTGGTTTTCACTGTAGGGTTGGGGATCACTACAGAGCTGGGGGTCACTGTAGGGTTGGGGGATCACTACAGAGCTGAGGGTCACTGTAGGGTTGGGGATCACTACAGAGCTGGGGCTCACTGTAGGGTTGGGGATCACTACAGAGCTTGGGGTCATTACAAGTCTGGGGGTCACTGTAGGACTGGGGCTTACAGCAGAGCTGGTTTTCACTGTAGGACTGGGGGATCACTACAGAGCTGGGGGTCACTGTAGGGTTGGGGATCACTACAGAGCTGGGGGTCACTGTAGGGTTGGGGGATCACTACAGAGCTGGGGGTCACTGTAGGGTTGGGGGATCACTACAGGGCTGGGGGTCACTGTAGGGTTGGGGGATCACTACAGAGCTGGGGCTCACTGTAGGGTTGGGTGATCACTACAGGGCTGGGGGTCATTACAGGTCTGGGGGTCACTGTAGGACTGGGGCTTACAGCAGAGCTAGGGGTCACTGTAGATCTTGGGGTCAGTACAGAGCTGGGGGTCACTGTAGGGTTGGGGGATCACTACAGGGCTGGGGGTTATTACAGGTCTGGGGGTCACTGTAGGACTGGGGCTTACAGCAGAGCTAGGGGTCACTGTAGAGCTTGGGGTCAGTACAGAGCTGGGGGTCACTGTAGGGTTGGGGGATCACTACAGAGCTGGGGGTCACTGTAGGGTTGGGGGATCACTACAGGGCTGGGGGTCACTGTAGGACTGGGGGATCACTGTAGGACTGGGGTCACTGTAGGACTGGGGGATCACTACAGGGCTGGGGGTCACTGTAAGACTGGGGGATCACTACAGGGCTGGGGGGATCACTGTAGGGTTGGGGGATCACTACAGGGCTGGGGGTCACTGTAGGACTGGGGGATCACTACAGGGCTGGGGGTCACTGTAGGACTGTGGCTAACAGCAGAGCTGGGGTCACTGTAGAGCTTGGGGTCACTACAGGGCTAGGGTAGGCTGGGTCTGTAAAACATAATGGTCATTTTATCAAGTTTCAGGAAATGTGAATCAGGAAATGATCATCATGCATGCCAAATTTACATTGATACTGTGATTACAGACTGTAAGGCTTGTTTCTGGGTGTGTAGCAGTATTTCAGCTGAATCATGGTGGCTGTTTAATAGTCATCCAGACAAACCAGTGATAGATATTATGAGCAGTGTCCCATGTCATTTGGGTATGGTGACACACAATAAATGAAACCATTCCGTATGTGGTACATTCATTTAATCACCTCTTACAGTCAGTTAACCTGTGAAGATCTTGGTTGGAACTGATCTTCAGCAACCTATGCATGTTATAAGATGTGACTGATGGCATTAGGTGGTCAGGTTCGCTGACTGGGTTAATGCATGTTATTGTTTGCCAGTGACACAGATCAATGCTCATAATGTCAACCCTTGGATTGTCTGGTCCAGAATCGATTATGTACAGACCGCCATCATATAGCTAGAAACTCCTGAGTGCTGTGGTAAATAACAGACAAACAATTGATCATCAGTTAAGGTTGCTGTTGATATGTTTTAACCTGAATCCAGAAAGGTGGCAGGCTATGGCATCGTCAAGATTGATCCACTGATGTCATAACTTAACACTTGTTCTGCCGGCAGTTCTGTGGAGATCTGTCAGTCGGGGACCTTCAAGCTGCTGTGTGTGGTCCAGGTACATCGCAAGCTCATCAACTGTCTCAAGTGGCATCCCCAGTTCACAGCTGACAAGCCCCTGGGCTCTGACTGTCAACACTGGCTGGCATCAGGTGCCAGCGATGCTCTGGTCAATGTTGTTGATCTGTCCAGCACACTAGGTGAGCGACCCGTGACGGTCCGTGTTCAAATATTGATCTTCAGTAACCCATGCTTGTTGTAAGAGGCGACTAACGGGATCGGGTGGTCTGGCTCGCTGACTTGGTTGACTCATGTCATTGGTTCCCAATTGCGCAGATCGATGCTCATGCTGTTGATCACTGGATTGTCTGGTCCAGACTCGATTATTTACAGACCGCCGCAATATAGCTGGAATATTTGCTGAGTGTGGCGTAAAACTAAACTTACTCACTAGATGAGCACACTGAACCTACATTCATCTTTTGGTTTCCTGAACATTGAGAACATTTTGTGGTCACCGGTTGTCACAATTCCTTCACTTCCATATATGGGACAGCCAAAGTTTTTTTGTCTGTTACATGTTTTTCTTATTCTTATTTAGATGAAACATTTTGTATTTTTAGTTCAGATAAGGGGAAGACAGTCTTAGTTAAAGTATTCTTTCAATAGTTCAATGAATTGTACCAAATTTAGGTCATTAACCATTATTCAGACTTGCATATACATATATTGGTGAGGACCTCTGTGTTGAACTGGGTAAGACTAGCCCCAACAAGTTCATGCTTGTTGAAAGAGTTCAATGATGGAATTGATTTTTAGGTGGAAAATTGATTACAAATAACAACTTTCACTCGCTCAATCCTTCTCCGTTTTGGCTGCTGCACAGAAATTTTTATTGTTTCCAATTTCGCCTAATAAACGATTTCAAGTTCTTTATGAATCCTCTAAATTGTAAGGATTTCCATATGTTGACTATTCCTAGATTCTGGCAATGAGGGTGTTGTCAGCCTCACTGACAGCATCCGTCGGCTGGAGGGGCATAGCATCAGGGTGACGAGTATCTCCTGGAATCCCCACATCGAGGGACAGATGGTCTCTGTGGGATATGACAGCATGGCCTATGTAAGTATAAAGAGTCAATCGCAACTACCACCAAACCTGCATGAGTGAAATTCATGATCTGTCAGTCTAACACATGCTTTACAAACCTAGCACTGACATGATACATAATTATGTTGGACCCGTGAAGACCTGGGTTAGACTTGATCTTCAGATACCCATGCTTGTCATGAGAGGCGACTAACTGGATCAGGTGGTCAGGCTCACTGATTAACTGACTTGTCATTGTATCCCAGTTACATAGATCGATGCTCATGCTGTTGATCACTGGATTGTCTGGTCCAGACTCTTATTTACAGACCGCCGCTATATAGCTGTGGAATATTGTTGGGTGTGACATAAAACTAAACTCACTCAATCACTCTTAATTCTGTTGAGAATACTGACAACAGGATCTGAAGGAAAAATAATATTCATTCCTTAAAGTCAGGTCCCAGATGTCTATTGCAATTGCTTGTTTGTGGCAATGCACTGTCAGGTCATAACTGTGTTGAGAGGAAGTGTTTTCACAACTGAGATCTGAAGGCAAAAAATTCCATTATTGCAGGTATGGAACGTGAAGACAGGGGAGGCAATGTATCAGTTCGAGGGTCACATCCAGCGCCTCCTAGCTGTGACCTGGAGTGGTACCGACCCAGATGAGGTCATGTCCGGGGGGTTTGACTCCATGCTGCATCGATGGAAGGTTTCCTCCCTCCCCAAGGCTGTCATAGAAGTTGGTAGGTTCAGATAGTCAATTTCAATTTACAAGCCATTGTGTGTTACTTACCAGACAGCGACCACACTTGACAATGTTTGTGTCGCAGTTCATTCTTACATTAGTTACATTATTATTACTATGCCAATATTTGTATAGCGCCAATATCCAGCTCAGCTGCTTAAAGGCGCTTTGTTTTTCCCTCAAAAATTGGAGGTCAGTCTCAAATGGCACATCACATTATCAATCTCAACTTCCTGGGGAACATACAGCCACTAGGCATACCGAGTTAATGTGGCTTTCCCATCCTTACGAGGAACCAATTCACACGTGTCCAAAGTTAGGAAGTTATTGTGGTTTGACAGAGTTAAGTTTGACACCATCAATTAGCATTGAAAAACAGGTAACCGCTTCTCTGCACAGTACACTTTCCACAGTCAACACAGCAAAGCAACCTGCTAACATTGGCCTGGCCAATTTGGACACAAAATGAGGAAATCAACAAGTCATGAAATTATAAAATAGAAATGGTTGACCCAGTGTAACAATTCATCAGTTTCATGTTCCTGGATGTTCAACATCAAAACATGAAGGAATCTCTGTACCTTTGGCTGAGAAACAATACATGATGTAAATGATGAAATGTTGACGAGCATTGAACATGGTTGACTTTTGTACACAAGGAGTTGACCAGCAAGATATTGACATATTTCCTGTAGGGGCGATGGGGCAGTCTAGAGGTTAAAGCGTCTGCTCGTCACGCTGAAGACCTGGGTTGGATTCCCCACATGGGTACAATGTGTGAAGCCCATTTCTGGTGTCCACCTACCGTGATATTGCTGGAATATTGCTAAAAGCGGCGTAAACCAAACTCACTCAATCATATTTCCTGTGAAAAATGTTCATGTTGATGCAGCAAGTGCAGATACTGTGTTGGTAGTAAGTCTGCCGCCGACAGATGCAATCACCTGGCAAACATGATTTGTCTGTCCATCACAAAACTCAATGTCAAGCCACATTTCCTTCCTTCATGCTGCTCACAATCATTCAATGTATGGGGGCCATATGTTTGCATTCAAAGTTTACTTTTGAAAGAATCTTGAGACATCTTGACTCCATCAAAAACATTGAAGTAAAGGCAGTCTCTTGCCTAATTAAGCTAGCATGAGATGTTTCTGACACAGCCATCAAGAACAGTTTCCAGCACGTTGATATCAAATCAGTTCAGACTAGTGGTGGTCCGATTAACTGAAATAATCGATGATTGGTCGCAGTGAATAAACGACCAAGGTATCGATCATGTTTTATCATAATCGAACACAAACAATTTTGGAACACTTGTTTTCATCAACATCATTTTTCGAAAGGTTGGTTTTGTCTGTTACATTTCATAAGCACTACAAGGTTGTTCCAAGTAATGATTGAATTTATCTTAAAGACGCCAAGAAATTTATGTTCCTAACATACTAGTCATCCTTTAAAGATGTGAAATTTTGCCCCCCCAAAAACAAAACTAAGTACATGGTTTTTTCCTTATTTTTTTGTGCATTAACAAATTTCATAAATGACGCTTACCAATTATTTTCGATGATTGATCGGTTGTAATGAACCAATCATCAATTATGAGATTTTAACCAAATCCCAACACTAGTTCAGACTACAGCTCAAATTGCTGACCGTCTGCCCTCAGAGATGCCACCAGGGCGTATGCTGAAATTCTACAAACTGAAAGCAAAACTGATGATGATTTAATCGTTTTTGACTGTAAGAAAGACACTGGTCATTCGTTTTAGACGTCATTCCTAGTGACAGAGGGGCGGTGGGGTAGCCTAGTGGCTAAAGCATCCGTTCGTCACGCCAAAGACCCGGGTTCGATTCCCCACATGGGTACAATGTGTGAAGCCCATTTCTGGTGTCCCCCACCTTGATATTGCTGGAATATTGCTAAAAACAGCGTAAAACCTCACTCACTCACTCACTCACCCACCCACCCACTCACTCACTCACTCACTCACTCTCACTCACTCACTCACTCACTCACTCACCCACCCACCCACTCACTCACTCACTCACTCATTCATTCCTAGTGACAGAAGTGAAGATGAAACCGATGTTGTGAAGATGAAACCAATGTTGTGATACTACCAGATAATTGATGTTTTGGTTACCTACTATGAGAACATCAGTGTCTTGAAACAAAACCTGTACGGTAATGAAACGTTTGAAAGTAGTGTACATGAATGAACATGTAAGTTTTGTTTCAAATGTTTCTCCTGTTTGACATTCTTCTGTCAGTTGATCCATGTTTATTTATTAAAGAAGTGAAAATTGAATGTATGAGTTTGTTAGAAGCCAACAGAATTTTTGTAGGGGAGGTAACTCTGGTCAGCTTACGAATCATTCCGGTATCCAGAAATGTGTTTATTCAGACGATATTTGAGGAAATAGAAGTGTCTGGATAAACAAGACCAACTTTAGTAGGTACTAAAGATTCACAAAATGTTCTCTTAAAGCTGAGGTGTTTTTAATAATGATGAGGTATTTATATGGTGTTAAGAATTGAGTCTTTCTGATGTTGAAGATGTTTTTGTAAACCAAGGTGATTGCAGCTATTGGTGGTGCATAGGTAGTGCATAATATGAATGTGAACAGAATGCCTTCATATAAACTCCTTTCTTTGCCTAAGTATTGAAAAAAACCTCAGATAAACTAAATACTGAGATGATGAATTCATTACTTCAAAAAATAAACAAACTTTAAAACCTGATTGTTGATCATAGTGTAACTGACTGAAGCTCCTCTAAAATACCAACTGTGCCCCAAGAATGCAGAGTAACAATGGATAGTAGAATGAGGTGTTGCTGTTACATAAGTAAGTCATAAACTGTAACATAAACTGTAACAATCTAGGTACATTGGACGCTTTTAGAATTAGCTTGAACACAGATTGTGTTGTTGAAAATGTTCATTCATTTAAAAGTAATGCAAGCCACTTGCCAGCTTGATCATTTCCAAGTTGTACCTTTCAACAAACTCATTATTATTAATGAATTATGATTAATAATTATGTAAATTATTAGTTCAAAGAGATTTTTCTGAGCTAAAAAAAGTGGAATCTTACAGAACCTTTGCCCCTGGCTTTTAAGATTTTCTTGGCAATAGTCGCCTTGAATCAATGCCACATTGTTTTGGGTAAATGTTTAATGTATGCTTGTATAATAAGGCAGAAGCATGGATCAGCCAGTGTGGCTCAGTGACTTGGATGACTGTGTGTTATTGTACCCAGATGGTGCGGCTGTTGCTCATATCATCACTGGTTTGTTCGATCCTCATTTATTTACAGGCATAAACCTGAAAATTGTTACAAGACTCATCAATCAGCAAACAAACCAAAACAACAGCGCCTTTGATATAATATATATGTGTGTAGTGTTGTGCAGGAATCTGAATGGTTTTCCAGGAGAGTGGTGTGTTGTCCAGGAATCTGAATGGTTTTCCAGGAGAGTGTTGTGTTGTCCAGGAATCTGAATGGTTTTCCAGGAGAGTGTTGTGTTGTCCAGGAATCTGAATGGTTTTCCAGGAGAGTGTTGTGTTGTGCAGGAATCTGAATGGTTTTCCAGGAGGTGGAGTGTGCAGTGTTGTCCAGGAATCTGAGGAATGGTTTTTCCAGGAGAGTGGTGTGTTGTCCAGGAATCTGAATGGTTTTCCAGGAGAGTGGTGTGTTGTGCAGGAATCTGAATGGTTTTCCAGGAGAGTGGTATGTTGTCCAGGAATCTGAATGGTTTTCCAGGAGAGTGGTGTGTTGTCCAGGAATCTGAATGGTTTTCCAGGAGAGTGTTGTGTTGTGCAGGAATCTGAATGGTTTTCCAGGAGAGTGTTGTGTTGTGCAGGAATCTGAATGGTTTTCCAGGAGAGTGGTGTGTTGTGCAGGAATCTGAATGGTTTTCCAGGAGAGTGTTGTGTTGTGCAGGAATCTGAATGGTTTTCCAGGAGAGTGGTGTGTTGTGCAGGAATCTGAATGGTTTTCCAGGAGAGTGTTGTGTTGTGCAGGAATCTGAATGGTTTTCCAGGAGAGTGTTGTGTTGTGCAGGAATCTGAATGGTTTTCCAGGAGAGTGGTGTGTTGTGCAGGAATCTGAATGGTTTTCCAGGAGAGTGTTGTGTTGTGCAGGAATCTGAATGGTTTCCAGGAGAGTGGTGTGTTGTGCAGGAATCTGAATGGTTTGTTGTCCAGGAGAGTGTTGTGTTTGTGCAGGAATCTGAATGGTTTCTGGAGAGTGGTGTGTTGTGCAGGAATCTGTTTTTCCAGGAGAGTGGTGTGTTGTGCAGGAATCTGAATGGTTTTCCAGGAGAGTGGTGTGTTGTGCAGGAATCTGAATGGTTTTCCAGGAGTGGTGTGTTGTGCAGGAATCTGTACTGTTTTCCAGGAGAGTGTTGTGTTGTGCAGGAATCTGTACTGTTTTTCAGGAGAGTGTTGTGTTGTGGTGTCTGAATGGTTTTCCAGGAGAGTGGTGTGTTGGAGGAATCTGAATGGTTTTCCAGGAGAGTGGTGTGTTGTGCAGGAATCTGTATGGTTTTCCAGGAGAGTGGTGTGTTGTCCAGGAATCTGAATGGTTTTCCAGGAGAGTGTTGTGTTGTGCAGGAATCTGTACGGTTTTCCAGGAGAGTGGTGTGTTGTCCAGGAATCTGTACGGTTTTCCAGGAGAGTGGTGTGTTGTGCAGGAATCTATGAATGGTTTTCCAGGAGAGTCTGTACTGTTTTCCAGGAGAGTGGTGTGTTGTGCAGGAATCTGTACGGTTTTCCCAGGAGAGTGGTGTGTTGTGCAGGAATCTGAACGGTTTTCCAGGAGAGTGTTGTGTTGTGCAGGAATCTGTACGGTTTTCCAGGAGAGTGGTGTGTTGTGCAGGAATCTGAATGATCTTACAGGTGTGTGAGATGTTGTACAGGAGGCTGAATAGTTTTACAGGAGTGTGTAGGGTTGTATGTGAGGCTGTATGCTTTTCAGGGAGTGTGTCATTTTGTACACGAAGCTGAGAGGTTTTCCAGGAGTGTGTCATCTTGTACAGGAAGCTGAGAGGTTTTCCAGGAGTGTGTCATTTTGTTTGGGAGGCTGAATAGTTTTACAGGAGTATGGAGGGTTGTATGGGAATCTGATCCTGATCTGTGGATCAGCCAGATCACCATTAAGTGGACATTGATCTATGGATCAGCCCGATCTACATACATTGGAGATTGATCTATAGATCAGCCCGATCTACATACATTGGACATTGATCTATAGATCAGCCAGATCTCCATTAAGTGGACATTGATCTATAGATAGCCAGATCTAGATACTTTAGACATTGATCTATAGATCAGCCAGATCTACATTAAGTGGACATTTACATACATACACACAAAAATGTCAAATCTTAGCTTGTGTATGTACGGATAGATAAAATAACTGAGGTATATTGAGAGGTTCTATTTCAGGACATGAACTTGACAACTTGCAGTCTTTCTTAGTGTTCCTCATATTACAGATCAAATATAAATAACAAGCATTGACATTTAAACTTTATTATATTTTAAAATTAATGGAAAATGGCAAAATACCCAATTGAGCCTGAGTAAGGTGAGTACAGTTTATTTGGTTACTCAAAGGAAAATTAGGATACCCAACTGAGATGAACAGAAGCGAGTACATAACTCAATGACCCCAAAAGTTATCTGTAACTCTGTATGTACCCCGCTGGGAATGCCGAACTCATTTGGTACTTCGTAGTAGTAATTTTTTATCTCGAATAACGTTGAATCATGTATGATGTACAGAAATTACCAATGTTTTGCGAATGCAAATCGATGGAAGGGAGGTAACTCTAAATATGTTTTCTTGTCGCCTTATCGTCTGGTACTTCATACTATGATCCTATACCCGTGCTTCAAACAGTTCAAAATTATCATTGAGGTGATCGGTAAGATAAATACGTTGTTCACTGGTCCCTCGGGGCCCATGGGTTGATGTACCCTCGATGTTTCTTTATGTTCCCCTCGCCCTTCGGGGTGTCGTGTTGTGTGGTGTACCCTCGATGTTTCTTTATGTTCCCCTCGCCCTTCGGCTCAGGGAAAATAACCAAACATTGAGGGTACATCGGCCCATGACCCCCTCGAGACCAGTATACAACTTATAATAGATCAGCCAGATCTATATACAGTAGACATTGATCCATAGATTAGCCAGATCTACGTACAGTGGACATTGATCTGTAGATCAGCCAGATCTACATACAGTGGACATACTGGTAGAGCAGTGAAATTTCATCAGCCGTTTCGGCTGTCTCCCATGGTAGCATCTGGAACTGGTCATTTGTGAAGTCATTCAGACTTTACGTCACAATATGATTTGAATTATGTCATCACAACTGACGACATAACAATACAATGGTGTGAGCGATGTTTGTACGTATTAATACGCAGCGATTTTCCGGGAAGCAAATACCATTCGATCATGTTTTTCAACCAATCATATTAAAGAACACAGTGACTTTTGGTTTACAATACGAAATATCCTCGTCAGACTGAAATGTACCCATGATATCTGAGCATCGTCAGTGCATTTTAGTGTGGTGCATTTCTAATGTTGTTCAGTATATCAACCAGTTATTTTCTGATTTCCATTGACATTAATAACATCTTGACTAATTTCTTGATGTCCAGTTTTACTGTGGTCAGGCTCACTGACTGGGTTGAGCCATGCCATTGTTTCCCAATTACAAAGTTTGACGTTCATGATGTCAGTCCCTGGATTGTCTGGTCCAGACTTGATTGTTTACAAAACTGAGCTGTATAGCTGGAATATTGCTGTGTTCAGTGTAAACAACAAACATTACTTTGGTGAGAAGATATATCTCTAGTTCATATAACCACCATCTTGTGTCTTGTGTCATAGATATGTTAACAATGCCAGTTGTACTTGAAAACAGAGACGCCTGAACCCTGGGATCCCTTTCATGTATTGAATGTTAGGCACAAATGTTCCTTTGCATGTATTCTTTCCATTCTGGCATTTATACACTATTTCCTATTTATCCCTGTGTGACCCAACTGATTCATGTTTTTATCAGCCGGCTTTATCCTGCAGAGAAACCAAGCTATCATATGATATCTTACAACACATGGCACAGTACATTCTTTGGTATCACGGTATATTGAAATACATATCATATTACAGTCTTGAGTAACACAATGTATCACTATACAAAATTCCAGGGAATACTGAGGCCTGGAATCCCAACAAATATCATTTTTTATAATGGGAAAGATCTTGACATTTAACTGTTGAACTGGCTGCCTGCACCTATTTTTCAAACTCGGTGACTGTGAAGTAATAGTTTAACTTCCCTCACTTGGGTGAGCTGATGTCGTCCATCATTTGTCAGCAACATCAGCTGAAGCTTTTTTAATCTTTTACCTCATTTTTTAAACGGCTTGATAATTTCAGTTGAAACCTTTAGTGTGCGTTCTTGATGATAGGTTCTTATGTTTCTTCACAGCATCAAATTGAACATTTCACGAGATGAAAAGGAATATCTTTTTAGAAAATTCAGTTTAGAGGTCTTCTCAGACATGTCAGAAATTACATTTTCCTGTTGCCATCCACATTAAAAAAGTCACAAAGACAAGTTATGATAAGGGCCTTGGCCAACAGAATCTGATGAATTTAGAAAATAAATATGTAAAGCCTAAATTGGAAGTCTTTCTGAAACTTAGCAGTGGTCATCATGTGAAAGAATTACACTCTGCATTATTTAAGTCTCATTAACAGCAAATGTGATGTTGAAGCTGCAAAAAAAGTAACTTTAACATTTGTTATTCCCTTTCGATTCAAAATAGGCCCATATGCAGCCTTGTCCAGTGAGATGAAAAGACAACATATTCTTTATGATCATTCCGGTTGGAAGAAGACATACCAAACTTTGTTTGTTCACTAGTTTGCTATGAAATACCAACATTACGAATTGTCTGGTCAGTCATTGGTCAGGATGAAATCAATGACACTTGCGACTGTCACTTTCTGTTTTACATGGTCAAGACCTGAACTATTCAAATATCCATTATGAAACCCAGTAATGGTGTAAAGAGTAATTAAAATGTGTGCCTGAATTGTGCAGCCATCACTGCAAATATTTTTTCAGCTAGGTCCTTTTGTTGGACGTTAGTGTCTTCATACCTGCAATATCCCCCTTGTACCTCCAGGGATTTTAGTCTGACATACGAATGAATGGCCTTGAATGAAATATGGCATTCTCACAAAGTTCCCTAAGCAGATTAGCAGAATATTGACCATTAATGGGCTGATCTTTACAGAGGTCATCCAATAGTGGGATTCTTTTACAATCCCAGAAAACTGAAGCCATCACCTTGCAAGCTGATGGAACACAGTTTGTGTTCATCAGGAGATGCTATATGGTGTCATTGCTTTGGCCGTCATTTAGTCTCTGCCAGGTAGCGATGAACCCAAGCCTCATCCTTAGTGTTAATCACTCAACCAGATCAGTTGGGGCTGCTTCAAAATAATTTAATATTTCAATAGACATTGAGCATTTCTGATCAAGAGGTCTGCATCAACAACTGTTGGAGTTGGCGGTTGTCAGTTTTGTCCAAGTTTATTAATCGGGAATGCCTAATCTCTTTATTGCCAGCATATAAATGATGCCTGTTCTAGCACATGCCGCCATATAGCTGGAATATTGCTGAGTGTGGCGTAAAACTCAACTCAACTCCAGCACATGCAAGCTGAAGAGGATGTATTGTAAATCCTTTGTACTTGACTCAGAACTCCATGACATCATGTATTCTTTATGCAATTACATTTTACTGATTTTTGTATTTATGACAATATCTGAGTATCAATGCTGGTGTCATGTTTTGTTAAGTGACCATCTATATTTGCCTTTTGGACTATTGCCATGGCACTACTTTTTCTTTACAGATATGATTTGTATTGAAATACATACAATGTGAATGTCACAAATGTTTCATGACACTGAACTCAAGTGTTTGATAATGGCAGCCATGTTTTATTTAGAAATGTACATGTAAACTAATCATTTGTTGTACAGTAATTTGACTATGTTTTAGCTGTTTTCATTTGCTGGAAGACAGAACACACAAAGTAGTTGACCACAAGAGAGATATACGCAAATCACTTTTTGGCTTATTTATGTTACCATATCCAATACTGTTTGCTGAATTATTGTTTTTGGTTGTTATTTCTATAAATATGTTTTAACTGTTTGTGTGTATGAAAAATATGAATGTTTTCCCGCAGTACATGGTGAGCACTATTTCTTTGTTTTCTCATGTTCAAAATAACTGTCTTTGCAGGAAAGAAAAAGAAGAAGAAGAAGAAAGCTATCAGTGCCAATACAGACGCTTGTCTGTTTTCCTCAAAAGGTTCATCACCTGCAGTATCTGAAGCAGCAGACATCGCAGAAGGTGAAGGTAATGGCAGCCTTGTCATTGATGCAAAGGGAGATGATTTACCTGACAAACGGCGTGGACAACCACAAGAAAATTTAGAGAACAGAGAAGGGGACTGGCCAGCTGTAAAAGAGGACATAGCAGAGCGGAGTAAACAAGCAAACAGTGGAAAGAGGTCCAAGGACAGGAAGAAGCTGGACTTCCAGGATGAATTGGCCGAATTGAAGGAGATGTTGGAGACCAGGAAGAAACAGATTGAAGTGAAGGAGATGTTGGAGACCAGGAAGAAACAGATACTGAAGGAACAACAGCAGCAGACATCACAGCACAGTGAACCTGAGGAGACAACTGGAACATCAACAACCCATTATCCACTTGAGCGAGAGTTAACACCTTGTGTGAAGGACGAGAGTGATGATGAAGGTTTGTTGTTTTCCTTTATTTTATCAGCAGCCTATAAAGGTCGGGGAATTCTGTCCATCCGTCCGACATTTTGTTTCATCCAATAACTTGAAAACATTTTGTTGGATTGTTTTCAAATTTGTTAACCATCTCCTTTATCTAAAGGAGAGGTTCTTTACAATTTATGATATTTATATTTTTCAAGAATTACAGCAGTTTACAAATTTGAACATAAAATAGTTTGTCCAACCAGTAACTTGAAAGTATTGTCCTGTAAAAAGTTGCACTTAAATATTTTGATGTGACCCCCAAAACTTTACATGTCCCCAACTATTTAACGTTGCAAAGGACCAAAACATCACAATTGTGACAAAATGTCTCCCAGTTCGTCTTGGATAGAAATCTCTTGAAAGTGGTGGCGAAGTATTTTCATTTTCATTTTGTACTGAATTAATGAGGCTAATTGAATATGAAATGGTAACTATCATACAGTGGTACTCTATTTTAACCTCTTTGGCTGGACGAGGTCTACTACAGTGTGGATGTATCTTGGTTGATAAGCTTGCTGAGCTTACAATGAAAAGGTTGTGTGAGCCCAAAGGACTCTTACAAAAATTGGTTTCTTGTCATTGACATAAGCTGGGGCAAGTACTACAATCAACAATAATGAGGCTATCAACAATACACCATCTCTGAAACAAACTAGCCAAAAACTGTGAGCCCGGCTTACTAATACCCCCGGCCATGACTATCAAATTCGACAGAACATTAATATTAAATATTATCTTACCTTCATGTAAAATACTTTAATTTCATTGGTCAGTGGCGCTTTAACAAGTTTCCATGTCACCCCTCCCAGGAGGGTGACAACTGGAAAAAATATAACGCGCTGCCACGGAAACAGCCGAACTCTCCGCTGAGAAGCTGTATCGCTAACAATTGTATGCATGCAGTGCACAGAGTTCAAAAACCGTTCGATTAGCTGTTACTATGTACACATTTATTTTACCAACTTTCACTGCTTTATTTAAACTATTTGATACATTGAATCGTTTGCGCATTCAACTTAAACATAATTAACCATTTTTATAGCAGTTTTAAGCTTATCAGAATATGTTTCACTGATTTAAAAGATCCAGTCGAGAGACAGGTGCCATTTTGTTTACATGTCATATAGCCAGTAGCGATTATCAAAGTAAAATGATATTTTGTACATTTAACATGGCGGTAGGATAAATACGTAGTATGCCTGCCGGGCTCGGGTGACACTGCTACAAACAGGCGTACATCAGACCGTATTACCCTCGAGAGAAGCATACAACTTATAGTATGTTGAACATAAAACTGCTGTCTTATAATGACATTTAGTGAAACACGAGTGATACACATGAGTGACATACGTAAAGAGGGGGAATTTATGGATGTCGACATCTGTATTATGAGGAACATGACTTTTCGGAGTATCCATACATCATCTGATGAAGGAGTAAGAATATACTCAGAAACATCATGTTCCTTATATCACAGACTTGACATCCATAATTTCCCCCATTTATAAAAATACTTTTATGAACTGTCACTTGCTACAGAATGCATTTTCACAGACTTATCTTATTTCCGGATTTGGAAAACTCTCAACATCGCTTATTGCATAGAACACTGAGAGGAGCTGATGCCTATGTTCTCATTTACTTCTAACACTGACTTTACACCACAGCAATATCTAATGTTTTATGAGCAACTGGTAAAACAAGTGCCCAAATAGTATTAATTTGTGGAATGAAGACCTGTTTTCTGTGTTTACAAATATGAAATTTGAGTATGGTCAACCATTGAAAGACTGTTTCTTGTTTGCGACACTAGGTCGCAGGTATGTGTGACTGTTCATAGATTGACAGTGGACAACATATATATTTGTACTTGACACCAGCACTTATTAGATGCATTCTTTAAAAATTCATACGAATGGACATTTAACAAACATTAGGTAGGATTGTTTTTCACTTTTTATATATTATTAAGGTAACAGTAAAAAATTGAGAACATAACTTTTTATATTTATGTGGTATTATCCTTTGATTAATGCAAAAATAAGTAAAGTTAAAAATTATCTTTAACTATCCCTATTTTCAGTTACTTGTATTTCATTTCTCCAGAGGGGCAGTGGGGTCTCCTAGTGGTTAAAGTGTTCGCTCATCACGCCGAAGGCCCGGGTTCGATTCCCCACATATTGGTACGATGTGTGAAGCCCATTATGGTGTCCCCCACCGTGATATTGCTGGAATATTGCTAAAAGCAGTGTAAAACTAAACTCACTCACTCATTTCTCCAGACCATAGATTAAATTTTCTTTCTTCTGAACGCTTAGAGCTGCTGGTGATTTTCTGCCTCACAACTTCTGTGGTCTGAGTAATTGTGAGTGGATGGCCTAGCTAACTAACTTTCATATTGCTATCCATGGCATGAATCACTGCCAGGATCTTGTCTTGTTAGATGTCCCTTTCCAACAAACATCAATATTGTATTCCCCTGCAAAATTAAATTTTTGACCTTTCTTGCCAATGAGCTTCAGTCGTTTCTTTTTTAAGAAAATCACTGTTCAATATGCTGTTTTACTGCCACAAAGCAAACCACCCAGGTCCTGACTCCCTCCTCATTACTGATTCCTTTGATGTCAGGGCTTCCTATGACGCCTTAACACAACCTATTCCTCGTTGCCCCTACTAATGTCGAAGTTTGAGTTTTCCTTAAGACGTAATTTACTCCATGCTGCTGTTGTTTGTGTTGCTGTTGAAGGGTAAATCTGCTGAAAGAGCTGTTGGTGACGTTGTTGGAGTTGTATTTGCGTCATTGTTTGGGGGAATTCTGAATAATGGCAGCCTAGTTCCTGGATCACTTCTCTGATCCAAATACAATAACTGTGCAGTGGAGGCCACTGATGGCCAAACAAACAGAGCCATGAAGATCTGGGGTAGAATTGGTCTTCAGTAACCCATGTTTGTCGTAAGAGGCGACTAAAGGGATCCAATGGTCAGACTCGCTGACTTGGATGAAACATGTCATCATATCCCAATGACATAGATTGATGCTCATGATGTTGATCACTGGATTGTCTGGTCCAGACTCGATTATTTACAGACCATTGTCATATAGCTGGAATATTGCTGGGTGCGGCATAAAACTAAACTCATTCACTCACCCAAACAAACATGTCAATCTGTCCAGGGCTCCAGATAAGGGCCATATCGGCGTATGTACGGATATAAAATAAGCACGATACGGGGGAAACGATTTTAAAAACGTAGCAGATACGGATGGTGCAATGGTGTACGGTTTCACAATCATTTACAGACGTTTTTATCTGAAAAAGTATTGTTTTATTGTTTACTGACCTGTTTACACAAGAGTAGCAATGTTGTGGTGCATATATGAAACGAAACACAAGATTACTGATACGCCATTAAATTCCATTCAGTACTCTAAATGTACTCTTATTGTTTTCCAGTACTCCTATATTGAACAAATAAGGAGTACGTACTCCTGATCATGAAAGTTTATCTGGAGCCCTGCTGTCATTTGTTTAGTATTGAAAACCTAAGAACTGACGATATGCTTCTCAGCATTTTCATAAATACAACTGCAAACTTACCACTGTTACATATTAGAAGGAAAACTTTATTTAAGCAATTTTGAGACACATAAATCGTCATCACACAGACAAAAGGTAAACAATGAGACCATAATTTTCATCAGTGATATGCACGTTAATATTTCACATCATGTCTCAGGATTTTTTCAAGTAAATAAATAGTTTCCCTGTGGTTGGCATTGCTTGTCTTCCCATAGGGATTCCAGACAAGTTTATGTCCGGACCAATGTGCAAAATAAACACTTGCCAAGTTGCCCATGGCTATCATCTTTTCTTTCTAGCTGTTATAAAAATATAATCTAGGTAGCCTTTCTGGAGGGCTTAGTTTTCTATTAAGCAATAATATATTTATTTGGGCATCAAATATAATTTTAGATGGTTAATTTCAGATTTCAAAGATGTAATGTCATGGTCCCTTGTCTCTAGTTATGCAATGAAAGGAGAATGTTTGATATTGACTCACTCTGAAGCTCTGACAATGCTGAAACTCCAGTTTCGTCTCTATTCAACCAAATTTCTGTGATTGTGTAAGAAAACCTGGCTTCTAAAATAGTCCTGTTAAATGTTTTTCATGGGTCACAGGACTTAACAAAAATGTTTTCATTCACATCTTGATGACAATTTTTACTCTAAAGAAAGATGCAAAATACTGTTTGTCAAACCCACATTTCATTTCTTCTCTTGCAATCTCGTGTTTGAATTATAAATTACATTTTTGAAACATGTCCTACTCTCTTTTCACTGACGAGGTCTTCAAAACAGAGTTACGAGTAAAACATTATTTGCTGAAAGAATTGTTGTCAGTTTGAATTGAATGTAAACAATGTATTTCTCATTGTAAAAGGTTGGTAACTTCTCTGATTGTGTCTTAAATATGTCAGTTATTTCTGATGCTTTCAAACTCTGGCTTAACTGCTCCAAACTTGATTATTTATAGTCCCAGTGTTATAGTTATAGCTGACATCAACATTTCACTCACTCACTCACTCACTCACTCACTCACTCACTCACTCACTCACTCACTCACTCACTCACTCACTCACTCACTCACTCACTCTCACTCACTCACTCACTCACTCACTCACTCATCACTCACTCACTCACTCACTCACTCACTCACTCACTCACTCACTCACTCACTCACTCACTCACTCACTCACTGATGTTACACAAAATCCATTTCCCCTTAGTCTGCAGATGAGCATATAAATGGAGTTAGGGATTATTATAAAAATATTATTGTAATAATATCAATATTTCCTTTAAAACACATACCAGTACCAACTCAAATGTACTTTATTAATAGCATGTCTACAGTTTCTGACTTTCTGAAGAAACATTTGTAATAGATCCTGGCCTTGAAGAATTGTAT